ATTACCAATCGGCGCGTTACGTTCTCCTGTGCTCAGAGATATAGCGCAAAGGACCCGCGTACAGCGATAATATCGATAATATCGATATCAATAGAGGAATCAATATAAAATAAAAAATAGGATTCTACAGTGAGTGCGATTATGTCTTTGATGCGACAGTAGTCAGTAGTTTGAACATTTTTATGAAGTCTTCCTCAACATTTTGATATTAGAATTTTCGTCTCCAAATAATCTCAGGAATCTACTATTACGGCTGATTCATTAAGTCTGGGACACCTTGTGTATATATATATATATATGCATATATATACAGGTAGACCATTTTAATCTACGCACTAAAATATCTCAAAATCCATAAGTTTAAGACAAAAATGTTTCAGACAAAAGTTGTATGATTTCGAGGGAGCCATATGAGGGTACTATTGGTTTGACCTTAAAGAGTCACCTGAAGGACACGTGAAGATCATCTCTAACTTTTTAAATGAAACTGCCTACTTTTTATTACATATTCAGAAATTACTATTTACATAACACATTTAGAAAAATATTCAGTTATTTCGAGGAAAAAATATGTAATTTTCAATTAACAATTACATATTTTTTCTTAAAAACAACTGTGTGTTTTCTTTACACCAATTGATTCCTCTAATTATTTTGTACATAAAAGTATTAAAGTAAGATAATTGAAAAATGAATATTTTTCTAGATATTTTATGGTTTATATAAAATTAAAAAATTACTTCAAGCCTCATAACTCGGAAGGTACTTAATGAAAACTAACTTAATTATAGTGTTTTGGAAAGCTCTCGAGATAAGCTACAAGAATATATAATAAAAAGTAGGCAGTTCCATTTAAAAAGTTGGAGGTAATCTTCACGTGACCTTCAGGTGATTCTTTAAGGTCAAACGAATGGTATTCTCTTATGGCCCCCTTAAAACCATACAACTTTTGTCTGAAACATTTTTGTCTTACTTATGAATATACTTATGAACTTATGAATTTTGAGATATTTCAGTGCGTAGATTAAAATGGCCTACCCTGTATATACGTATATTTATATTTATATTTATATATATATTTTTTTATATGTAATGTGTATCGACGAGATATTTCGATTACTTGCAAAAGTATGAAACTCTACGGAGCCTCGACACACGTCGAGAGATCTAATGACAAAGTTTCTTTCTCCCACGCGCTCTCCTCTGCTATCTCTCTCTCACTTTTCTTTCTTTCGCTATTACGATTATTTATTATCCACAGAGCGTTTCACAGTATATATATATATGTATATACGCTTTCAATGTGTTCGTTTATATCAATTATGTATATTATGTATATATATTTATATATATATATATATAACGTGTATGCATGTATTTTGTTTCTTTTACGTGTACATATTTATATATGTATATTATACGTATTTATATATTTCTATGCCGTATTTATATATTTATATATGTATAGATAAGTAGAAAAACTTAACGGTAAATTTCTCCCTTTTTCTCTTTTTCCTTTTTTTTACGTAACTTTATTATTCTTCGCTCGCCCGCGAAACCTCGCGTTTTATTAATTCTTATTATTCCTCTGCGGTTATCTTATAAATAGATACAAGTGAAGTTATATACGTGGGACAAAAAAGTTTATTTTTTTTATGTATATATTTCTTTTTTATAATATACTATATAACGAGCAACGATTCCATAAATCTCTCTCACTATCTAACGAGAGTGTTGTGTTTTGTTTCGTTTCGTTTCGCGAGCCAAGAGAAATCCTCCTCTAGTCTTCGTCTAGTATTCTTTCAGGATGCACCGTCGTGAGGCAGATACCGGATGTCGCAAAAATGTTCACCTGTTCTCGCGAGGTTCCCTTACTATCTCTGTGTGTGTATACGTATGTCTGTCTGTCTGTGTGTGTGTGTGTGTGTGTGTATGTAATTGATTGAATTTATTTCTAATTTATGTATTAATAGAGTCCACGTGCGCGAAACGTGCCCACGTGTCGGCGACAATCAACAGAATATTCGGAAAATGTCGCGTTTAACTCTCACTTGCACACATTTCTCTTTGCGCTTATTTTTTTATCATCGACTTTCCTGTAGCATCCGTATGGATTTGAGGCATTCCATGAAACTTATCGCGACGTTACAACGCGTTATCTATCTATTTTCGTTAGCGTTAGTTCGTTTTAATATCACTGAAAGTCCGACGATGCGTTGAAGGCTCGCTTGATTCGACGAAATAATAATATGTCGCGAAGTCGCATTCGAGCACAACGTGCAATTCTACGGGATGTATAGAGGTCCTAAAGCGTTGTAGTTTAAAATTAAAAAGAGATATTGTAGAAAATATTTTATTATTAAAATTATTATTAATATTAACAATTATTGTTTTCATTCTCTCGAAAGAAATGAATTTCTTCAGAACTCTCGAAAGAAGCGATCCGTTGACTATTTTATATGTCGTTTATCCGTTAATTATTTTCAGTACCTACCAAATAGTTTTTTTTGATTAATTTATTCGCTGTGCTTCTTGCATTTATCTATCTTCATCTATCGGTGATGAGCAATTAATAAATTGAATTAATTATTTATAACTTTTTTACTTTAAAGTTAAATTAGTTAATTACGGAATTAATTTTCTTACTTTTTTATTAATTAATTTATAAAACACACATATCATTTTTTTTATATAAAATTAAACAAATATTTCAGATTTCAATTTGCAAAGAATAGATGAAAATTATAAATATAATGTGCCATATTAAACAAAAATTATTTAGAATGTCACGTACTAATAATTGAATATTATAATAATTAAATATTATTTGTATAATATTATTTATAATATTATTATTAATATAATAATTTAATATAATAATATTATTTATATAATTTGTAATATTATTTGCATAACGTAAACGTAAGCGTGCTCTTATTGCTATAAATAAATATTCTTTTGGATAATGGAAACAATGGGAATAAACCTTTGCTTCGTCGATACAATTATATCATCGAAATGACATCGCGATGCCTTCGAAGATCGCTGAGTCGCGTCGAGACGAGTTTGAACATTGTACTAATAGCACTATTATTTTAGTATTTCTTACAGTTCTGGCTAACACCTTTCCTCTCGTATCAGACGAAAATTAGATAATTATTTCGCGGGATTATATATCTCGTCACGTTCCTAAGAAGAATTTTTCGTTATTAGCTCGTGATATTTTAGATACCGTCAGACGAATCGCAACAGAGTCATTATTGTTACTGCTTATTATTACCGCAATATTACTATCCGCATTATTACTATCATTATCATTACAATAATTAGTTTTATGAATATAATCGTTAACGTTATATTAATGTATTAACAGTATTATTGTTATTTAATCATAATTCAACAACGATTTCGTTAAAGTTCTTCACGTTTACCTTTAAATTAGCCCTTTTAAAATGTAATTAGGTAATGTTAATGTTTGTTTCGAATTACGTTTGCATTATTTCATGCTTGCAAGCTTGGTCATCTGCTTTTTCCTTTGCGATACTAGAAAATTTGCAAAGTCGAATATTTCGCGATTATCTCTTCACGCATGTACGACATTTTATCAATGTATACATTAAGTGGCATGCACATTGTACGCGCACATTCTCCCTTCCCTTCATCTTTCTTCTATTTCTTCTATATTTCGCACTTTTTCTACCTTTTATATATTTATATTGATTTTCTCATGTATTTTCTTTGCAAGTCGCATTTACACCTTATATTATTTTCTCTATTTATCTATATCGGCCCATCTTTCATCTCGCTTATCTACAAAAATAAATTGGAGTCGCATGATTAAATTTGATGAATCAATTTCACGCTAACAGTAGGCATTTGTAATTTATAAAAAAAAAAAGTTATTTTAAGTATAAGGTTGTAAATGCGGCTTCCCTTTTCTTTTTGTCCAATTGTATAAACGTATTTTAAAAATCGCCTATCGACGCGACTATATCGTCAGACCTAGAACTTTTCGGATTTATCACAGAAAAACATTTTTATGAGTATTTAATCTTACTCCCGCGTACACACGCACACACACGCGCGCGCATCGTAATCGTTTAATCCTCCACGATTTTCCGAGTCTCGAATCATTGCCAATTGCCGTTTACATTCGCTAATACCGGTTGGAGAAATATTTGCCTTCTTCAAATAAATTTTTAATTATTAAATTTATTTAATTTTAAATTATATTATAATATATTATAATATATTATATATATATATATATATATATATATATATATAATATTTTTCTATATATAATATTTTTAAGCTTATTTGTCCTTCCAATATATAAATAAAATAAATATCCGATTATTTTCCTCCTATTTTATTCTCATAAGAAGAAGGATGTGAGAAAAATTTTTTAACGAGAATCCTGTGAACCAATATTAGCGAATCGATTGATATCGTTCCTTTTCCCGTATCGCACTCATTCTTACCAATTGTGATTATATAAACCCCTCCCCCCCCCTCCATTTATATATTTCAATTCGTTCATATACGCGATTACAATTAAATTTTTAAAGGAAAAGATCATGCGACTTTGATTCCGAGATTTCTAGAGATGCACGAGATCCTCGGTGATCCTCTTTCTCTCTCGTCCTTTCAAAATAATATCTTTCTATCATTTCAGAGCATTGATACTAATTTAAATTTAATTTTGTTGTACCTGTAAATATAATTATGTCATTGAAGATATCAATTCAACTAATTATCCCAACTTCTTTTGCATTATCCTTTTATTATTAATTTGTATTATTTTACATTACTATTAGACAATATTAGCGATTGGGTAAGTCTGTAGTCTTCTCTTTGGAAAAATTGATCTTATTATGTATTTTGTAGAATTCTTAATCGTTGGATGATACAAACAAATTCGATGGTTAACGCCCATCCATTCACCAAGGATCTTTATATACGGATTACGCTGGAAAAAATCGATCGCTTTTCCTTTCTTTTTTTTTTCTCATTCCATTTTTCTCTCCCCTTTTCGATTTCCCCGTCGCACGCACACATTCTCTCGAATTAGCTACTTACATTAATTAATGTCGTTACGTAATGGCAATATTCTCGTTTATTTTGACTTAACCAATACACGATAATTACGCAAACAAGCATAGAGCAGCGTTGGAAATCAATCGAATCGTTGATTTGAGAAACGAAGTAAATCGGCTCAACTTTTTCCCCCAATTTTTCTCCCTCCACCCTCAACCTTAATATTTAAACGAAGATAAGAAACGACTGATTTAAACGAAAATAAAATACACGAAATATATACAGGGTGTCACTTAATTGACGCCCACTATTTATACAGCGATATTCCTCGTGGAAAAAGAGTCGAAAAGTCCCGAACCATTTTTTTTCTATAATGAAAAAAATTTGAAACCATTTTTTTTTATAAATCATTCTTTTCTTCTATAATGCGAAAAACTTTATTTTGCATTAAAAATCATATTTCTTCCGTTAGAAGTGTTTCCTTAAAGAATATTTCATTGAGGAGGCTAAAGGTCGATGCTTATTGGCGCAACTTTACTCAATAATTACCGCTTTATGAAGCGTTATAGAAAAAAATGGTTCAGGACTTTTCGACTCAGTTTTTCACGAGGAATATCGCTATATAAATAGTGAACGCCAATCAAGTGACACCCTGTATAAATATAGTTGCTCGAGCGTGATTTAATTAATAATCGCGTCGACCGAGTTGTTTCGCTTCTCACATTTGCCGATTCAATTACTCGCATCCACATTCATTCATTCTTTTTTTTTTCTCGCTTTCTCTCCCTCTCGTTCGCTCAACGGGTATGTACACTTACCTACCATACAGTATATAATGTATTTATATGTGTCGCGCAGGAAAAAAAAGAATGTACGTTTATGTACACCTATGTATTTCTCGTATGTGTTTCCGCTTAAAACACCCCGTACGATTGGCAGTATGTTAAACGTGTCTTTTTTTTATATGTATAATGTATAATGGTTTTTTTTCTTCTCTTTATCATATAATCTCGGTTCGGATACGTGCGCTCGTTTAGCAAGCTTCCGTTAATTTCCTCGTTTTCCCTCTGTATATATATATTTTTTTTCGTTTGTTCTACGTCGTCCGTCGTTTTTAAATGCACAATTCAAATCGACGGTGAGAAGGTTCTCTCGAGATTGCGAATAGACGAATGACGTAAACCGATGTTTCTCATTCTTCTCTTACGAGTCGCGCGCGCTTCGGTTTAATTAACACACTTACAGTATTACAGTAATGATAATAAACAGCGTTATTTAGCGACGGTAGTAGAATAATTTAGTTACGGTAAGTAGTAATAGTAGTATAGTAATAATGATAGTAGCAGCAGCAATAGTAGTAGTAAGACAGTAGTAGTAGTAGTAGTAGTAGTGGTAGTAGCAGTAGTAAATGGTAATACAGTAGTAATGATAATAGCAGTAGAGTTAGTAGTTAGTAGTAATAGTAATAGTAGTGGAGTGGAGCTGTTTTTCCTTCCCTTCCTGTAGGTGTTAGCTTAGTAACGGTATTAGCAGTGATAGTAATAAGTATTGTAATTCAATTATATATATATATGTATGTATATATATATATATATATATGCAGTAATTTACAAGTGCTTTTGAAAACCGTGTGGTAAGAACTGGTTTTTCTCTCTCTCCGCCTACCGCCCATTTTCTCTCTCTCTCTCTCTTTCTTTCTTACGCATCTTCCCCCCTTTCTGATATTTCGCGACAATCGTTTATTTTTCTCTCCGCGCGTCCTCGATCGTGGTCCTCTTTACTTGAATTTTCCCTTAATTTTCTCCCTTGATTGGCACGAATCGCGAGGCAACATTCGCACGAATCAACGACGACGTTCGCATTGGCCTCTCTCCTTCGCCTTTGTTTCCATTAAAGTGGCTACGATCGTCTGGCGTGCGATTTTCGACAAGAACCGCGACTGCGAACCCCTGTCGATACTTCACAGCCGCGGTTCTCGCGCGAACCGATTTCTGATTTTTCGCGTTTGATTAGAACGTCGCTCGCGCGTCAATTTTGCTAATGGCAGAATGGAGCCAATGTGAAGAGGAATAGGATAATTGAAATTCAGCCGTTCGATCTAATTTCTAATCCTATCTCGATTCTCCTCTCGCTGGCCTCTCGATTCGTCGAGAAACACTCGCTTCCGCTCGCGTTAGTCCGTTTTTCGTTCGCGCAGCGAAATTTCCCGACGATATCTTTCACGGAGAAAGCACACAGCGAGAACGAAATCCTTTTTTGCCAAATTTCGCCGTTTCGGATTGTTTGAATAGATTTTGCCGTCTATCTAATCAGCCTCAAATTATGTAAAACTGCAAGTGACGATCCTACTGCAGACCCTATGCGGCCTGCGTCGTCTTTCCATTCATTCAAATCTCCCTCGATCGACGTCCCTTTAATATTAACGTCGTCGTTGAAAAATTAACATTGCTATTATTCCGTGTTCTCTCACAGAAGTGGAACAGTCGCGGTTTTCAACGTCGTATTATAGGGGAAGGAGGCTTCATACGCACACGCACACACGCACAAAGTCAGTACATACATACGTACACAAACATACATATTCATATAAGAGAACGTTTCACGTGGTGATCACAGCGTATCCGGGCGTTCGACGAGTCCCTCCTTCGGAAAATCGTATAAAAAGTGAGTCTTCCCCGACGATCCTCGCTCGATCGAGACGAGGGAAGATGAAATATATGAACTCGCATACAATCGGAGGGTCCGAACTCTCTGAACGTCCGCTCAATTTTTCCATTTCACTGTCGCGCACGACGAGTTTCACTGCAACCCACCATCAATCGTGTCTCTCAAGACGTAGCTGTCGCTCGAAAGATCGACCTCAGCTTTGCCGATCGTCGTTCGCACCAATGTAGAGCGTCCTTGTCGAGCTCAGCCGTTTGATTTCATCTCGATCGTTCGTGGAATCGCACGTATCGCACTCCTCCCCGTCCGCGGACTCGTGCGACATCGTCGTGCGAATGAGGTTTCGCTGGATTTCCTTTATATTTGCGAAGAGTCGATTATTCCTTGTGTGTTTGCTGACCCTGTTCGGTCGCCGTGTAGCCTTCGGGATCGGTCCGAGTTTATCGGTCCGCCTCGAATCATCTCCGTTCAATTCTCGTAGACCCCTTTCGGTCGCCAAATCGTACGCCGCGATGATGGGAAACCGGAATTACTCCTTCGTAGAACCGTCTTCGGCCGGTCGAAGCTTAAAGGAAGTGGTCTCGGATTCGTCGATCGCGGTTCTTCCTTGGCTGCTGCTCTTTACACTGAAATTCAACGCGTCCCACGTGGACGACTATCATGCGCAAACCCTAAGACGCCTGGGGGCGTCCACGTCACCGGACCACCGTCCAGGGTCCCACTTTGGCTAGCACCAATCGTCCTCGTCACTGTCTGAGTGCCTCGATCTGCTCAACAAAATTTACCATCCGATTACGACTCATTGTTTTAATTTTTACAGCGATGTAAAGAGAAGCAGATTGAGTTAAATTATTAAACACGATTAAGGATGTTTTGTACCTATTTTCAAAATATTGAGAATTTAATGAAAATTGTACAGAATGTCCTTACATATGTTTAGAATCTTCAGTATATAATTATATAAGTTATATAAAAAATTATATTAATTTATATCACATTTTATATAATTATATAAGCTATATAAACAATTATATTAATATAAATAATATTTTATATAGTTATATAAATTATATAAAAAATAATATTATATAAAATATATTATAAATATATTATATTAAAGATGTTTTGTACCTATTTTCAAAATATTGAGAATTTAATGAAAATTGTACAGAATGTCCTTAGATATGTTTAGAATTTTCAGTACAATTTTTTAATCAATTCACTAAAGCGTTCACAAATTATAAGATTTTACAGCGAATTAACATTTATATTTACATTTATAATTATTAGATTTTGCACCGAATTAACATCTGTTCTTATGGGAAACATATAACCACGTCGATTCGAAAATGACAAAAACATATGGAAATAATATTCAGAATTTGTTGAAAATTTGCAAAACTTTAGATACAGAGGAAATATTTGGTCAAATAATATGATACTAAGTACTAACTGGTTAAAAAGATATTAAATATAATTCAATCAAGTTAGCCATGTATCTATCACAAGGCGAAATTCTCTGTCAAAAGTTAATCATTTCGATTAACAAAGTTCGAAATATTTCAGTAAAATCGCAATAAATATTAAAAAATACATCTCTGCACTGTAGCTAAGAATTGTAATATTCCACACAATTTCTTACTCAAAATACATCAAAAGTGGATATATTCGTCAATATTGATTTTCAGTTACTTTTTGTTGGAATTGTATATACAAAACATCTTTAATAATGATTCATAAAAAATGTTTTTCAGAATGTCAGATACAAAAGAATTGTAAAAGAAATAAATAATGGCTAGAATTATACAGAATATTTCTTAATAAGTGCGAAAAATTTTAGGAGATGATTCTTTGTCGAAAATTAAGAGGGTTTTTTATATATACATTCCTCCCTGAGGAGTCACACTTCTCCAAAAATGGGGTAAAATTAGGTTTTTTTTTTTTCAAATTTGAAACAAGTTAAAGAAATGAAATTGGGTGGATATTTTCTACTAATAAAAAGGTTATTTATTAATATTTTTTTCAGATTCCTGTGTTATTATAAGGGGATGAAACTAGCAACCCCTATTCAATTTTTTATTAGACCTTTTTAATGGACCAGAATATGATCACCTAATAATATGTATTAAAAGATTTGATTTCTTTAGAAACTTTTATTTCTTTTATTTTTTTCATAAAATCAGTAATTTTCAAGAAAGAAAATAAAATACGTTATCGGCACGATACTAAGTAGCATAGGTTTCAAATGACGAGAAGTTAAATTTTAAAATAAAAATAAAAATAAAATTAGGGTAAATGTATTGGAAAAATTGAAACAAAAATAAAATTATAATAAAAACCTAAAAAACCTAATAATAAAACCTAATAAACCTTATAATAAAAACCTAAAAACCCTAATCTAAAAAATAAAAATCTAATGTTTATCCCCAGTTTTGGAGGAGTGTAACTCCACAGGGAAAAATATAGGGGTATACGTTTATATGAAAAACCCCCTTTAATTTTCGACAAAGAATCATCTTCTAAAATTGTTCGCACTTACTAAGAAACACCCTATATTTTCTCGATCAAACGAAAGGTAAATTCCCAACAGAAGCGAGAAGAGCTGCTTACCTAGGCGTTCTTTGTTTGGATTGTGGTTGCGGCTTGTAGCCATTGGGAACCGGGCTGGGAAGTAAACGACCACCGCGGCCCATGGCAACAGCCTGCTCGAAGCTCAACGGATGATGGCTCGGCTGTATGCTGGAGGGCGGCATGTGCGATGGCGGATGCGGATGCTGCAGCACATGGCCTGGCACAGGTCCCACCGGTACGTGGGCAGGTCCTCCCGGCGCCATCGGGCCGTGCAAACCGTGGGTCGGCGAGGCGTTCAGCTTGGGGAAGTTGATGTTGGCCGGTTTCAGCTGCAGGGTCGACGGTTTGTTCGGCGTCGGCGGTAACCGACGACCCTGGCCTCTCCTCGCGACCAGTACCGGGTAGCTGTGTTGATGCGGATGATGGCGATGATGATGGTGATGCGAACGACCACCCGGGCTCGGGCTCCTCGAACGTTGCTCCAGACTGGTCGTGCCGTAATGACCGCCGCGCTCGATCCGGTGAACCGGGCTCGGCGATCTTGCCGGGCTCGTCGAGGCGCTCCACGGACCTGATGAACACGTCCGTTAAAGACTTCCGATCTGCGCTCCACGCGTACCGGGGGCACGATTATTGCGGGGGGATTTTCTCGGTGATAGTTGCTCGACAAGTAAATCAAAAGCGTGTGACAAGGCCCGACAGAGCCATTGGGATTTGTGAACAGCTTTCAGTGCTATCGATTGCTTATCAATTATTCAATTCATCAAATTGTAAATGAAAAGTCAAAGAATCATCGGAAAGGATTCAGGACTGACAGACTATCAATATGATTCTATCGACATCAATTTTAGAATTGATTTTTATAGAGTTAATTATTTAGAAACCAAAAAATGACTAACTATATTAAAATAGTGACGAAAGGTCAATTTAACAATATATTTCTCGATTCCTACATTTTTGAAAAAATTAATTATTACTCGTGATTTAATTTCTGGATTTTAATAATACCCCAAATAGAGGAGATATGTGCTAATTATTTTCAAATTACAAAATCCGTTAGAAAAAAAGAGATAGAGAGAGGATTAACATGCTTGTAGTGTTTCGTGTTTGTGAGACAACTCGAATCAATAGTGCATACTCGTGTCAGTGCTCTAATAATTGTTGTATTTAAAGGAGGGGTGTTAATAAGGTTGTTTTTGGCCCATGTTAGAATCACTTCAAACTGTGGCATTTTCTTCCTGCCAATGTCTCACAACTTTCTAGAACTGTTTGCTGTCCGGGCTGAGAACGGGCAACTTGAAATGGGGTTTTTCACATAGTAGTAGTGCCGGTCTCATTTCAGCATATCATTGTTGAGCTCAAAAACTACTAGAGTATGTGCTGCTTTAAATATGAAAAGGAGCTCATCTGACCTGGTATTTTGAACAGATTACCATATTACTGAACAATCATGAAATAGTATCCCTTGCGATGAATCGGACAATACTGCTATAAGCCCAAACTTTTAAGGGATTAGATCATTTTACGAATGCAATGTATATTCGAAATCATATTGTGAAAAAATATTTGAGATTGGCACTACCACCATGTGAAAAACCCCATTGATTTTTGAGATTTCAAGTTGCACGTTCTCAGCCTCTAATTGCTCGGACAGCAAACGGTTCTAGGAGGTTGTAAGATACATCGGCAGGAAGAAAATGCCACAGTTTGGAGCGATTCTGATGTGGGCCAAAAACGGCTTTATTGGCATCCCTCCAGAAAAGGCATCTAACGTGGCATGCGCATTCTACGATACTAAATCGCTACGAGTGCATCAATAGTGTCACAATAGTCTCAATAAGTATTGTCCAAAATTCTCTAACACACTTTCTCCCTTTATACACATGATTACTTTCTATACATAAATTAAACTATATTCAAAGATTACATTCTACATCATATAATTATTTAGAAAGAATTTTAATTAATTGACCGTGCTTGAATAAAAGAATTCAAACTAAGTTGCATGTGCATGTTGCATCTTTCAAACTATTGGACAACGTCTAGAAAACCGTCAACCGTCTAGAAAATAAGAATTGTATTCGAGAATTACACTTGAAAACTAAACACTATGAGAATATGTTAACAAAATGCAACAGCTATATATCTAATATAATTTGTTACAATCGTTAAGGTTTTTAATAAATAAATCGATAAATAAAATTGACTGACAATCGATCAGCATCCCTAGTATAAGAAGCATCGCGTAGCAAACAAGAAGAAAAACACTTTTGACGTGAATATGTGAAACATTGATAGTGCTATTGGTGTTGTACACACCGGTTGTCTGAAAACGTCTACTGTGTTGATTTGTGTTTGTTTATTGCACGCGCGTGTACGTGTATGTGTATGTGTGTGTGTGTGTGTATGCGTATATTTGTGTGTATCATCGCAAACAGGAACGAAGAAACGGTGAAAGCCAAACGATCGTATTGATTATATGTAGTAACATTATAACTGCACCGTGGACATGGGAATGAAGAAGAGGAGAGTTGCGAAAGAAATTACCATCGTCGTAATATTCGCAGTGGTCGTAATAGTCTGTGTAGGCGCATAACAGAACAAAACGAAGAAAAGTATTACATCGAGTATCACACAGAGCTTTCCTGCCTCTTACGAGTAAAACCACTTATAGCAACATTCATGTTCTTATAAACCGTGACCACGAACTCTCTTTCGTTGCTTCCATTGATTGTCAACAATTGTACAGTTTAAAACTTATAATTTATATATATATATATATATATATATATATATATACACATATATACCCAGCAAATACCAAATAACAGTTTTATAACCGTTAATTGTAATTTCTCACTCAACAATATAACTGTTATATAACTGTAACATGTTATATAACAGTTACACAACATTATAACATGTTATATAACAGTTACACGATATTATAACATGTTATATAATAGTTACATAACATTATAACATGGTATATAACAGTTACATAACATGTTGCAGTTATGTTGTTGAGTGGGAAATTACAACTAACAATTATATAAATGTTATTTGGTGTGTTTCCTGGATATATATATCATATTTCACAATTTTCACAGTAGTGTAGTAAGATATTTTATATACATATACCATGTTTTTATGATTAAATTCTGAAAAAAAAGACTAAATATCACCAAGCCGGTTGGAGATAATTATAATCAATAATAATTATAATGGAGAAATATAACACATCAAGTATGAAGGTATATCGGTGATATATGGTGATAGAGCAGGTATAAAGATGCTGTGTTTGTAGAATAAAAATCCAGGCCGATAAAAGACAACGAGAGAAAGAGAGAGAGAGAGAGAGAGAGAGAGAGAGAAAGATAGAGAGAGAGAGAAAGAGAAAGAGAGAGAGAGAAAGAAGAAGAGAAGAAATAGAAAGAAACCGGTTGGAGATGATCGACACGAAATAGAGTTCGCGGTCCTGGTTTCGTGAAAAAGACTTATCGTTGCACCGTCGTGGTCTTTCGCTGGTCGGAATTATCGCCGGTACGTCGTACCTCGTATCCTATGCCGATGATTATATTGTGACGCGTGGGGATGATGAGTGTGCCTTTGTATCTCGACGACGTTGCTAACGGTGTCGCTAAACCCTGGTCCTTCGTGGTAATGACCGTGATGGTCGTATCGGCCCTGTCGCCTCGGCGATGGCGACCTAGGCATTATTGGCGAGTGTCTTCTGCAAAGTAACAGTTGAATGAATCATATCTGCCAATTGATTCGAGACAGCGTAATTTTTCGAAACTGTCGTATTGCTTATTCCCAATGTTTGCTGGTATCTAGATAAAATTATCTAGATAATCATCTGGATAAAGAAATGGATCATCTTTATTTTTAACTAGATGAAGAAATACAAAGTATCTTTATCTTTATCTTAGATAAAAAATATGTCATCTTATCTAAAAATTGTCTAAGATGACGTTTTCATTATGCAAAAAAGTTTTCCAAAAATCTAAAGCAAGCTTCTAAAAATCTATCTAAAATATCTAAAATATATTTTTTATATTCTTATTATTAATATATTATAAATATATTATTATTATATTATTAATATATTATAAATATATTATAAATATAAATTAATAAATAAATATTTATCATATCATTTATATACCTTTTTGCTATTATTTAAATATTCTTTAGGAAAAGAGAAGGAATATGTGTTTATGATTTTAATATCCCGTTTATAATCTGCGTCACATTTTTAACAAATATTTATAGTCTTTTAAAATAAACAAAAATATCTAAATAATTATCTAGATTATCGCAATAATTATCTCATCTTTCATCTAGATTAAGTAAAAGCAAAATCATCTTTATCTCATCCAAGATAAATTTATGAATTTTATCTTTATCTTTATCTAGATAATTTTGAAATTATCTACAGCAAACACTGCTTATTCCAGATCTAATACCTTATACTTGGCGATCGCGAACGTCTAGGGGGAGGCGCTGAAGGATGATGCGGACGAAGGATTCTGTCGCCAGGATGCGTGAGACTCTCGAGGCTACCGGCACGTGAGTCGGACGGTACGACGTCCTGCAGCTCCTAAACGAGAACAGACTTGCGACTTAGTAGGTTGCTCGTATGGTTTAGAGCCGGGTTGGGAATCGAAGGGGTAGTCGGGGTGTTGCCGGTTCTTTGTCTCTAGCAATATCGCGCTGCCGATTCGCCCGCGCTCCGAACAAGAAGCTATCATATAACTCGAGACGCCTTTCGTTTTCGGAATTTCAAAGCAAACGCACGTTCGAATCTAGCTCCCTCTTTCGAAATATCAGTCTTCATTATACTTCGAAATTTTATAATTATTTGATAAAATATACAGTGCCTACCAAAAGTTCCGGGACGATCGAATATTTCATAAACTATGCACTTTAGAAAGAAATGTTTCAGACAAAAATTGTATGGCTTGAAGGGGACATAAGATGGTGTCATTGGTTTGACCTTGAAAAGTCGTTTGAAGGTCACCTTCAATTCTTTAAACGGAACCACCCATTTTTTATTTAATATTCTGGTAGCTTACGTCAAGAGCTTTCCAAAACACTACAATTAAGTTAGTTTTCATTAAGTACTTTCCGAGTTACGAGGCTTGAAATAATTTCTTAATATTACATAAACCGTAAAATATCTTGTAAAATATTCATTTTTCGATTACCTTAATACTTTTATGTACAAAATAATGAGATGAATCAATTAGTGTAAAGAAAACGCTTAGTTGTTTAAAAAAAAATATGTAATTGTTAATTGCAAATTACATATTTTTTCTTAAAAACAACTATGTTTTTTCTTTACACCAATTGATTCCTCTTATTATTTTGTACATAAAAGTATTAAGGTAAGATAACCGAAAAATGAATATTTTACTAGATATTTTATGATTTATGTAAAATTAAGAAATTATTTCAATCCTCATAACTCGAAAAATACCTAATGAAGAAATACTTTATTATAGTGTTTTGGAAAGCCCTCGAGATAAGCTACACAAATATGCAATAAAAAATAGGTAGTTCCATTTAAAAAATTGAAGGTGACCTTGGTCTGATCTTCAAACGACTTTTCAAGATCAAACCAATGACACTATCTTATGGCCTCCTTCAAGCCATATAACTTTTGTCTGAAACATTTCTTTCTAAAGTGCATAGTTTATGAAATATTCGACCCGGAACTTTTGGTAGGCACTGTATATTAGAGCAGTTAATTAATATTTATATAGACAACTTTATGCCACCTATTAATTTGCACAATAGCGTATCTGTAGCTGTATCGGAATTGCATGGATTAATTTTGAGAGAAAAACAAATGAGAAGAAACAATAGGCTTGATTTGACGTGCGATCTGCTTCAGCGTACGTTTTTGTCACTAACAAATATAGACTTAGCTTTGCAGGAGAAATTGATAAGGCGGAAAAAAGAGTAGTTTACACACACAGAGATACATGTACAAGTATACGTGTGTGTTAAACGGCATGCAGTTAGAAAAATTTCGTTCATGCACATGCTTGTCGTTGTAAAAATTCCCGATCGCTCGATTGAAGAGAGGAAGATATCCACTACCTTTGAGACAGGAGACTCGCTTCACGGATGTATCTTACTTACCGGGACGTGGATACGAAAGAATCAAGAGATAAACACACATGATAGACGAGGAGAACGAGGCAATCGCGTGAGATTGTATTGACTGCTTCGTTGCTCCAACGATAATCCTAAAGCCGAAAGCAGCAAGGGACAAGGGGGTGGAAACTGTTCTATGCATCGGCACGAGCAGTCACTAAAAAGAGCGTTCGGATGGCACGTGGCTATTATTTTTTTCTATGTGATGTTTTGCGCTAGAGTGTGTGTTTCTAGGTATTATTTACAGGAACACTAACACACTCAACAGGATCAAGACTGATTCGACAATTTTTTTCTCAGTTTCATGGCAAAAGAGTAGTCTGTCTGATGATCTCATTTCATTGAATCGATCTTGAACGTCAAGGATCACAACATCACGCGCAATACTTTTCGATCCGCGAATACTATCGAATAACTATTTTTTTAGGATCGGAAAAATCACAAATTGGACCAGTGGAGAATTGTCGATTGACTCATCTAAGACGGTTCGTCCTAATCTAATCTGAACGCAGATATTTGCATTTGTCTAGCGGAAATTTAAAAAGTTTCTCTGAAATCTAATTTTGTTCTAATATTCATTTTATCTAAAAGCATTTTACTCTCATCTAGATCTTATTAAGAATTTTCTCTGGAAGGAAATTACATCCTCTAAAAAAGTACTTTAGGTGACACAATTAATACTAAAACATTCTAATTTGGATCAATCTAACAATAAATTCGCGAAAGGAGAGAGATATTATCCTAATCTAGAATAGAATTGTCTTTAGGTACAATAGAACATCTACGTTATTTATTTGCAGGATGTTTCTAAATTTCGATAAAATTTTATCCACGATTTTTTTTTAATTTACAATATTTAAAACATTTAAACTCTGTTTATGTTATTTTTTATTACATATAATAAAATATCGATATTTTATCATATATAGTAAAAAAATAACATGATAAAATATCGATAAAATATATTGATAAGATATATTCGGAAATTTTTAAAAATGGAAATATATTGATAATTATATAAACTTAATTTATCAAGTACAGATTTATAATCTTATATTTTCTAAACTGAGTAAAAATTGGCACATTATTACAATTTTCTAATGAAAAAATAAAAAAAAGCTATTTGTGAAATCTTGAAATAAATATTTCAAGAGGAATAATATCGAAAGAACTTTTTTAAATCTTAGAAACATCTTGCAATTGTTATGAAACATAGCTTAAACATATACACAATTACAACATATTATCAATTTTATCGCGACTCGTATTTTTCCGGCTCTCTATCGCGATTAACTTCCGGTGGGGTCAAAAGGTAGGAAGGACACTTTCAAAAATCGTGGGAAATCGAATTCTCTTTCGAGTTTGGATCGAGCCGACACCTTGTGGTAACGGATCGAGGAGCGAGGTACGTAGGTGTTCTGGTGTTGGTAGTACGAGGGTGGTCGGTGGTCATGATGATCATGATGGTGATGGTGGTGGTGGTAGTATTGGTGGTGGTCATAGTATTGATCATTGTCGGTATCGTAGTATTGATCGTGATGGTGATGGTAGTAGTTGTTTTGATCATCCCGCTGGGAGGACACCTCGGCCAGCAATGGCTCTAGCTCGGGGGCGCGATCCTCGCCATTAACTACGAGTACAACCCCAGACCCACCCCCTCCCTGGCTACTCTCTCCGCTGCTGCCTAGTATATCGTATTGGCGAGACATCTTCCAGTTCACCTTTTTGTTTCTGCAATCAAAACGATCGCCATTCTCGGCATTAACAATTAAAAAACATATGTACATATTTAACAGGGTTGGCAAAAAACTTGTCTTGCTTTTATTTTAAACAAAAAACATTGTTTTTTTGTTTAGAACAATGTTTTTTGTTTTATTTGTGTTTTTAAGTAAAGTAAAAAAAAAAGGTTTTAAACAAAAAAGCATGTTTTAAACAAGCAAAAAGTACTTAATAGCTTTGATCTGTGTAAATATTTAAATTTTTTGCTAGCGTTAAACTGTAAATAACGTTGCCAAAATTGACAACGCTATTAAAAATATAAATAAAAATGATAAGATGAGTATTATTTTAGAAAAATATTTATTTTTGGAGTTATTTATTTTTGGAGAAAAAAGTTCTAGTTAATAATATTTAATATATAATACTTTGGTTCCTGTCTTATTCTTATTAAGTAACCTCATGTTTAACTCTCAATATAAATTATAAATAAAAGAAAAATAAAAAAACCTCAATTCTTTTTTTTAAAAGAAGAACTTTTTTTTAGAACTACTGACCTGCTATGAGTTATATACTATTAATTTAAAATGCTAAAATGTAAAATTTAAAGTCAGTCAATATCTTTTAAGTAATCTTTATTGTATTGATTGTTATTTAATATCCAAAAATAAATATTCTGCTAAAATAACACCCATCTTATCATTTTTATTTTATTATTTATATTTTTATATCTATATGTTACATAAATATAAATAAAAAACTGAAAACACTAAAACAAAAACTTTTTTGCAATATACACATCTATTAGTTTTTGTTTGTTTTTTATTTTTTTTACAATTTTTTTTCCAAATAATCATATATTTTATTTGCGATATTTTAAACGATTTTAAACAGTAGTTTAAAACAGTTTAAAACAAAAATGTTTAAAACAGTGTCCACTGTTTTAAATAAGTTTTAATCAAACAGTTTTAAACACATTGTTTAAATCATGCCAGCCCTGATATATTAAATATAATAATATATACAGGGTGTCCCAGATCAGCCGTACACCCCTTTTAAAATATGAAAATAAATTGCTTTTATCAAAAATCGCGAACAATTTTAAGTAAATCGGGTACGCTCTATCAAATGGTGATATTTTCAACTTTTGATTTCGATCGGAAATATGTCATCCGAATCGGAAGTTGAATTTTTTTAGGCGAACATGGTACTTTTTATTACAGATTCGAATTGTACGTGAAAAAATAAGAAACTTTTGTATCAAACTTTTTTCTAAAAGTGCCTCTGTCAATCTTAACATTTGAAGTTCATTATTTCATCACAGTTACTTTCAAGGTCAATTTTAAAAGCCATCACAGTTACTTTCAAGGTAAATTTTAAAAGCCATTTATTTTCATTTAAAAACAGGTGGTTTGGAACACCCTGTATGTGCATTATACAGAGTGTTGCTAAACCTATGTCAAAGATTTTAAGAGCGTATTCTAGGAATTAAAATAAAAAAAAGTTCTTATAAACATGGGTTCAAAAATGCTTTTCCTCCGAGTTAGTCCCCTAAAGTTGGTGGGAAAAAAAATCACAAAATATATCGAAAAAATGAAGGTCATAATTAATTATTACGCTGTGCAAAATTTCAACATTCTGTGAAAAAGTCTCCGAGAGTTACAATACATTTTGTGATTTTTTCCATCAACTTTAAAGGGCTATAACTCGGAGGAAAAGCATTTTTGGACCCATATTTATCAGAACTTTTTTTCTTATTTCGACTCCTAGAATACGCCCTTAAAATCTCTGACATAGATTTAGAAAACGCCCTATAATACAATATACAGGGTGTCACTTAATTGGTGCCTACTATTTATATAACGATATTCCTCATGGAAAACTGAGTCGAAAAGTCCTGATCCATTTTTTTCTTATTGGCGCAACTTTACTCAATAATTACTGCTTTATTAAGCATTATAGAAAAAAATGGTTCAGGACTTTTCGACTCAGTTTTCCGAGGAATATCGCTATATATAGTGGGTGCCAATTAAGTGACACCCTGTATAAAATCGTTAATATTGTCATCCAAATTTGCGTCAATTAATCAAGATTGAAAATAATTCCAAATACAATAATAAATTTTTCCCTTTAAGTTTATATAATTTTTTTCTATATAAAATATTACGAGTTTTTATTTTCTTTCATGATATTTTTAGCAAATAAAAAGTTTAATAAATAAACAAATTATTTTATTCAAAGACTTAATATGTACACACCTGATGCTACGCTGACGTCTGTGCGCGGCGGCTGCGAGGACGCCAAGAGCCCCTTCCTCCTCGTCTCTGTGCTCTTTATGTCGGTCGTGCTTCACATCCGTGGTCGGTCGCACCACCGGTTCGAGACTGTTTGCCCTACTTCCGGCTCCGTGATTATTTCCGATGTGATTTACAGCCGAAATGTCCAGCAGGCAGTTGAAGAAGGCCGATTGCTAAATTGCGAAACGTGCGAAAGCACACCGGCTATCAGAGCTGACTGACAGGGATCTCGTTTTTCGATCGACAATTTCTTTTTTTTTCTTTTTTTTGCGCTTTTTATCTTCTGATTTTTTTTTGTTTCCTCCGCATATAAATAAATTAGATATGTACAGGCACATACAGGCTTTTTCTTTAGCGTTACCTCTCGTCGGTGGGCTCTCGAAAAATTGTGGTAGAATGCGAGACGCTTAATAAAGATCGGATGCATTCAGAGTCAAGAATTAATAGTGTAAAAACGGTGAGAAAGAATTTTCAGAGTAAAAGAGGCGGCCATGCTAGAAAAAAAGGCATGTCGTGATAGTGCGTTTACTTGTGTCGGTTTTATCGACGAACTCTTTTTTTTTTTCTTCATCTCGGACTACTGAGTACGCTCGAGAACGTATGTGTGATACAAAAATTGCAAAATAGTAGCGTAATTGCAGCGGGGCGATCTTTCGTAAAAAACGTATTGCATCGCAAAGCCTGTATATGTTGATCAAAATTATGTATTATATATACAAAAAAAATGTTATTCCTTGTTTTCTCCCTCGAGTACGAAAATGTTACAAGTGAACACAAATGTGTTAATAAATAGACGCGATTAATCATTTGAGAAATTGTAACAATACTGCAAAAATGCAATTATCAGTAAGCATGCATAAAACGGGTGAAGTCTCGATGTTCTACCAGAGCTTTCCCTCTCTTTGTTGGAATTAATAATATTTAAAATATATAAAATTTTTCGTATCATATGTATCATCGGTGCCGTCAACTATTGCTAACAATTTAATATGTATAAACGCAAGGTAGAACACGAACAGTTCACTCCACAAAGACCATACAAATATGCCAAATAATCGTGGGCAAAATCGAAATTCTGCTGCTTAGTATGCAAGAAACGGGTTTGAATAAAAGGTATATTCCAGGGTTAAGGAATCTGGAACATGCCGCTCTATGAGATATCCCAAAATCATTGGTACATAATATCTAACTGAAACGTTAAGATTGTTTTTTTTCCATTCTTTTCGAATATTTTATAAAAATTTGAAAATTCTTTTATCGATAAAAATAAAGTATCGCTATTAAAATAACCGTCATTTTTTGGGATATCTTTTTATACGTCGGTGAATTATTAAGTGCTTACTAAATCTGTAAAATGGGATCTATCGATGGACACTTAAAATGCAACAGATGTGAATAAATCTTTTTTCAATTATCGATTTACAAATTGCTTGCCGCAAGACAAAGTTATTAATATCATTACTCCTTATCTTTTTCGCAAACATCTTGAAAACTTCAATTCGAAATAGCTTATTTATACCGAATTAAAAAAAAATTATCAAGTCATAAAAAAATCTTTGATTATATTATATTATAAATTGTTCAGATTAATTTATTTTGTATATCAAAATGTGTCGACAAGTTAAGATGTGCGTACACACGTTGTAGAGAGTGTCAAATAATGTAACGTGTAATTGAAAGAGCAGAAAATTGTTCTAGTTAAAAGCGGAAAATCTTTTTCTAGTAGAAAGCGATCGGATAAATTGGGCAAGACTACAAGTCTACTGTTGTAATCTGCTTAAAAAAAAAGTGCCTATAATCTTCTCTACACTATTGCGATATAAAACTCGTAAGAAATAAGAAGAAAAAAGATCAGCATTAGCTAGCAGGATCGTCATTATCACTGTATTAATTTTGCGTCAGATAAAAGAAAATGATTTCTTAAAATTATCTAATATCTCTCTAAGAAAGCAACGAATCGCAATTTAAGTTTCAGATTATTTTTTTGTTATGCCTAATTTTACTTGCATAGATATTAGATGATCTTCAAATCTATTTTCTTATTAAGAATCAAGCGAAGTAATCGATATTTCCGTGCACAATGCAACGGTTTTTCCTAATAATAATAAAAAAAATAGTAATATTCTTCAAATAGTTTCAATAAAAATTCATTTCAATTATTTAATAATTTTGCAAAATGTAGCTGATAAATTTTTATTACTAGAAAATTTCGTTGCATTATCTTTTATTCATCCGAGGAAACCACTTGAGCTTAGAATAAGAAGGCGCGAAGTTGAATCATTTTTGGAGTAATGCAACTCCAACTTTTGCTACTTTGAAAGGCTCGCATCGAATTAAATAAAGGAGAAAAAAGTTTATCAGGTGCTCGCGAGCAAAATGACAATTCGGCAGAATAAAAAGTAACGTTCTACGATCTAAGATCGGTTCGCTATATAATATGTTTAATTAATCGAGAAAAGGCTTGTTTGGCAAGAAAGGAGTGTATATATTTAAAAGAGAGAAAGAGAGAGAGAGAGAGAGAGGCGATTATCGTAAAGACTGAGGCAAAAGGCGAACTATTTATACGCTCGAAATCAATCGACTCATTTTTTTTACTACTTTTCGCTCTAAATAGGCGCGAGAAACGGAGCTCTAGGAGGTGATTTACTTACACACAGCTATATTGCCGGTAGGACAAAGAGCCGATATGTCTACACGTGCGTACACGTGCCTACGTAGCCACGTGTTACTCACGTGTCGGCAACAACACGACGACTAAAACAACTCTGACAATGTCTTATAATCATATATATCACACTGATTGTGAGATGAGGGGGGAGGGAGGGGGGACTTTGCATGGGGGACGCCGAAAATCAGACAGAGAAGAGATCAGTTGTCTTTTCTCTTCGTGATATATAGATCACAAGTGAGAGCTATTCTTCGATGTTACCCTAAACTAGCTTGATAAGAGAAACGTGCGATTAGAGAAAAGAAAATCCTCTCGGCAGGAAGGTGGCTAAATGTCTAGACACTAATTCGTATGTATAAGCCTGATTAAAGATCTATCATGTATCATATTATGTTTCTAACATAATAAGTGCCTAAGTAAGATAAAGTGTATTGCCATGTTATTTCATCGTACGCGGAACAACCATTGTTTTTTTTTTTTAATTAAATACATTTTCCTCCTATTTCTCAAAGTCTGATTACGCAATATTTTCTTTCTTTACTAATTTTAAATATTTCACAATTTCACAATTATATTATATAAATTATATTATATAAATATATATATAATATTATATAATAATATTATATAAATATAATATAATTATATTATATTAATATAATATATATTATATAACACAATTTTACATTCAAATTTTGCGAAACATATTTATGTTAAAGTTGGAAGAAGAAATTACGTAGAATAAAATTTATATAATTTTACATTTATATATACGCAATATTAAATTTATTAAATTTATTAAATTTTTTTTATGATAGATGCTATTTTTATAATGGCTGTTCCGCTACGCCTATGAGTGTGTGTAGTGTGGTCATTTTAGTGATAAATAAAAGGCTACTTTACACAAACGAAAGATAGATTAAAATCATACGTGTGGACACGAGTAAGAAGAAAGATTGTGTGCCGAATGTTAATTGTAGAAAAAAACACACCAGAGGCATAATCTTGCCGTATGTATAAAATAAAAAGATTCAATTACGTATTATATAAGGTGTTTTTTTTTTACGCATGAAGATTTCTATCTCTCTAATATGTTATAAAATATTAAAATATATTTTAAAAAATATTAAAATATATTAAAAATATTAAAATATATTTAAAATATGTTATAAAAACAGAAAATAATATTACATTATAAAATAATTAAAAAAATAGTTTTAACTGTTCGTATAATGTGTTGCCAAGAGAAATTAAATTAATTTTTTATTACAATATTTTCTTAACATTTTTGAAATCGTGTTATTATCATGGGACACCTTATATCCGATACAATTTTTCTGCAAGCATAGTGTGCCTCTGGATAACATGAATCAAGAATAAAGTAGGAAAATTTTGAAAATGGTGAAAAGTGTTATTTTACAAAAAAAATAAAGCGTCCGCTGCAAAAGATTCGCTATCTCTCTCTTACGTAATGTTATTTATTTGTTTTTGAAAATATTAAAAGTAGAAATTGATAAAAGGAGCGATGATACTTTTGCAGTACGCATTTAACACAAAACGGACAGGTGTGATTAGAATTCGAACGGAAACATACAGCCCAAAACAAACGAAACAGTGTATGTTAAGAGAAGATAATAAGTAAGAGAAAAAGTAAGTACTACCGCCTGGGCTGCAGGACTTTGCCCAGCATTATCGTTATCGATAAGATCGTTATCGTTCTGGAAAATAAAGAGAAAGATACAAGAAGATGATTGAAAGTTACGTGAATATCCTTCGAATCAGATACTTTTGACAAAATAGTTTGATGGGTAAATTAAGTATCGGTAATTACTCAAGATTTCTTAAAAAACAAATCTTGAAAAAAAATTCGTGATTATTTTTTGTTCTAGTATCCAATAAATAAAAAAAGTGGTAAGATTGTGTCTTGTTATCTAGTAATCTAAACTGAAATCCATTCAGAAATTTCAGAACTATCTATGATAGACAAATGTTGCTATCCAATCAGTCCATTAACTGCTGTTAAAAAGTGAAATGTTTGATAAAGGTATATTTGACTTTCGATTTAATAACGATAATGATTCATATTGTTTGTAAATTAACGACAATTAATAGACTGACGTAATGATATCTATATTAAAATTACTTGCACAAATTTTAAATTATAATGTTTAAATAAAATTACATATCTATCTATTTCCATACACATTGACATATTTAATTTAAATAAACAGACAGACTGCATTTTTTTATGTTACCAACTAAAGAGTTTTACTTATTATCCCGTTAAATTAAATAAAAGTACAAGTGGAAAAAAACATATTTATTTATGTATTTAAATTTATCCCTTTAAGAACTTAATTAATTTCTTATTTTTCATTAAACATTGAAGTTATGTTTCATGTACGTGGTTTAACAAATTCTAACAAATCTGTAAATGAACTTAAATGTTTCTATTTATCAGAAATGTGTCTATAATATTCGAGAAAAAATTTCGTGACAATATTAAACTTCTCGTTTTTTTGAAAATTATATAAAATTTCGGAAAATTCTCTATTCGAGGTTTTACTCGCGCGTAGAGTGTCCTATCATGAAGAAACCATGACAAATACATTCATTTCAACTCCACTCTCGATCGAAATCTTCAATTCCGACCTTCTAATTTGTTTTTTACAGCAAAAATAAAAGAAAAGATCTTTTGACAAATATGTATTATTAATATATATAATTTTTATCTTGAATTTATTTTCAATTAATTTGTATAATAACGAAAAGCCAAGCGAGACTGCGATTCAAACAAGAGAATCGTAATTGAAGGATCTCAAAGAGACTTAAGAAGATATCTTTGAGGAGTTTGTAATTTTTCGTATGAAAAATATTTTGCTCGACTCACCTGTTCGGAAGGCTTTGACTTCGATCTCCAACTTTCGATTATCAGAAGACAGACGTATATCTTACCCACCGTGAGCTTGTCTCTGCCCAATTCTGAAAAAAAGGATCGCGCGATTACTAATATGTTCCAAAAGAGAAGAAGAGTAAATCTTACCTTCGTTCCTAGGTATCAAAAGGTCCAACATTTTTTTCGCTTGCAGAGGCCAGATACATCTGATTGTGTCCCGCAGTTCTTCATTAGCTTGATTCATTTCGTCGGCTAGAACGCAAAGATGCAAACAGCACAGTCGGAATTATTCATTCAACGCATAAATTAATTGTCGAGAGAGCAATAACATTAAAATTATAATAAGATTAGGAAAACAATATTTAAGAAAATGTTTAACAAGGGTTATTATTTTGTGACGTTTCTAAGAAGATATCAAGATATTCTATGATGTGACTTCTCTGAAAGAATAAACTCTTTCTTTAAGAATATAAGATTAATATTTTTTTTAAATTTTTGGTTATTTTATATACAGGGTGTCCCAGACTTAACGAATCAGCCGTTAATGGTGGATTCCTGAGATCATTTGGAAATGAAAATCTTAATACCAAAATGTTGAGGAAGATGTAGTTTCGGCGCTACAAAAGATTAAATGTTACCAATCGGCGCGTTACGTTCTATGCTCAGGGACATAGCGTCATATCAAGAGACCCGCGTACAACGCGATAAGTTTGAACATTTATATAAACTCTTCCTCAACAATTTGAATTAGAATTTTCATCTTCAGGAATCTGCTATTAACGACTGATTCGTTAAGTCTGGGACATCCTGTATAAAAAAAATAGAGAGATCACACACACAACGTTTATAATCTAGGATTTTATAGTGATTTCGTTGCATTTACTTGTTTAGAACCTGGTGAACTCACCGCATCGCATCTTTATACTGAGGTTTTCGCGTATCAAGGCGAACAGCGTGGAGGTGAAGTTTACTTTGCCGTCACCGTCCACCGGCATATTCATCCTGATGAGTTTCTTGTACGCGAGTCGATTCGGGCACTTGTTGCCAAACCCCAACGGCGGATCCATGTTCTTCAGCATATCGTACATTTCCGTATAATGGATCTTGCCGGTGGCGTTCGGATCGTACTCGGCCCATATTCGCACGAATTCGTCGAGATGATGAGCGCCCAGGATCGACGAGTCGCGCGTGAGGTAATCAAAGTTGTCCATGATGACGGCGACGAAGAGATTTAGCATGAGAAACGAGCAGAAGAAGATGAATGACACGAAGTAAGCGTAGGCGATGTTGGAGCCGCAACCGCCCGGTTCATTCTTCTCGGCCTTCGCATCGCAAGGACGGCCCTTTACGCAGTCCAGCATGATGTTCGGCCAGGCCTCACCCGTAGCACACCTGAGAAGATTGCTTCTTGAGCACAACGTTCATTAACAACGATTGGAACGATTGGAGAGGTTGCTTCGGCGATCTAGTGCATTGCTTGCGTTAAAGCAGCGCTTATTATCGCATGCAAACCTTTCAGAATTTTAAGTTGGATGAAGTTTTACACTCAATATATGATGCGAGTGTTTGACGTAAAATTGCGGCGAAATATTATGACGAATTATTGTACAGTAGGCGCCAATAATGCCTTAACATATGAAATTGATCGCATTCGGGATTAATAATGACTAGATATTATTAAGGATGGTTTGTATGTACAATCCCAGCAAAAAGTAACTGAAAATCAATACTGACGAATATATCCACTACAGTGCAGAGATGTATTTTTTAATATTTATTACGTTTTTACTGAAATATTCCGAATTTTGTGTCTTTGAATCGACGTGGTTATACGTTTCCCATAAGAACACATGTTAATTCAGCAAATTAAAATCCTCATAACTTGTGAACGCTTTAACAAATCGATTTAAAAATTATACTGAAGATTCTAAACATATGTAAAGACATTCTGTACAATTTTCATTAAATTCTCAATATTTTGAAAATAGGTACAAAATATCCTGAATCAAAATGATTAATTTTTGGCAGAGAATTTCGCCCTGTGATAGATACATGGCTAACTTCATTGAATTATATTTAATATCTTTTTAACCAGTTAGTACTTGTATAATATTATTTGATCACATATTTCGTCTCTATGTAAATTTTTGCAAATTTTCAACAAATTCTGAATATTATTTCCATGTGTTTTTGTCATTTGAATCGACGTGGTTATATGTTTCCCATAAAAACACACGTTAATTCGATGCAGATTAAAATCCTTATATCTTGTGAACGCTTTAATGAATCGATTTAAAAATTGTACTGAAGATTCTAAATAAATGTAAAGACATTCTACAATTTTCATTAAATTCTCAATATTTTAAAAATAGATACAAAATATCCTTAATCGAAATGATTAACTTTTGGCAAAGAATTTTGCCTTGTGACAGATACATGGCTAACTTCATTAAATTATATTTAATATCTTATTAACCAGTTAGTACTTGTATAATATTATTTGACCAAATATTTCCTCTGTATCTAAACTTTTGCAAATTTTCAACAAATTCTGAATATTATTTCCATGTGTTTTTGTCATTTGAATCGGCGTGGTTATACATTTCTCATAAGAACACATGTTAATTCTCGGTGCAAATTAAAATCCTTATAACTTGTGAACGCTTTAGCGAATGGATTTAAAAATGATACTGAAGATTCTAAACATATGTAAGAACATTCTGTACAATTTTCATTAAATTCTCAATATTTTGAAAATAGGTACAAAACATCCTTAAGTTATTATTAGTCTCGAATGCCAATTTCATATGTTAAGACATTTTGGCATTATTGGCGTCTACTGTATCTAAGATTAATCGCGAGCACAAATCCATTTTTAAAATTTTATTAAATAATTCTGTTTCGTCAATTCAGAGCAAAAACTTAATATCAGTTTCTTAGATCATAAAAAAATCGCTTTTTGGGAAAATTTTTATATGATTTCAATCCGAATGCAATTTGCTGCATCGGTTTGTCTTTCCTAAGATTGAAAAGTAAATTTTCAATCGCGAATGGATTTGTCTCATGGACGTTTACCTTCAAGTAGCATGAAGAAACATACATTTATATTTTTAGTGCAGCATCTTTTTGCAATGGCAAAGAAAATTAGCTTGCAAAAATTCATGCAATACTCTGGCAAATTATAACATTGCATCTTTTGCAGCGTACGTTGAATGCGCAATTGCTTTAATCTCCTCAGTCTTCAAGTACACACAGGTTAAATATGGAGATTTATTTATTTATTTATTTACGTATAAGATTATTCAAAAATAAGAATTTTATTAATTATTCCATTTCATGTTGAATTTGTGTTAAAATTGCTGTCGTTAATGCTACTTTAATTTGATTATTTTCGCGTATTTTATTTCAAGTCTGAGGGGAGTAAAAAATTAGGTCTATTTCTCTGGCAAGCGCGGCATGCACGAGATCTGGTGCTTTATGCAACATCACAAAGATGATCTAGAAACTGCGAACTTAAGATGGAAAAATCAACTTCTACATGAGGCTGTGTATTATTCTGTTTGCTCTGAATATACTGTGTCGTTTAGCCTGATTCTGCTTTTGTGCTCAATTTAATGCTAAAAAACGTTATAATAATACGTGATTGGATCGAAGCGAAAAGGCCTGCTGTGAACATACATCCGGAAATAATACGAATTAAGCGATTGGAAGATTTCACGACGTCGTGATAATTGACGTTCAGCGTGACAACGTAAGTCATTTCCAAAAAAAAATGTATTTAATATTTAATATTTAAGGGGTGCTGTTTTACCGATAAAATGTTATATTTCATTTTTGTCCGAAATCTTTTTATTAGTTGCACAAAATAATAAATGCCTCCACAATTAAAGTACATACAGAAACAAAACGGGAATCTCTTGATTTTATATTAAAAATAAAAAAAAAGATTGAAAAATCGTAAAAAGGTCATAATATACAATATTTGCTTAATATAAAAGTTTTGCAGTTTGTATGCACAAAATAAGATAGGTTTCCGCTAGAAATTGTATGAAGGAATATAAATTAATTTTTAAAAATGAGTTTAGAAGCCTAATGAAAAATATTTCGGTTTATTTTTTATTAGGCTTCTAAATTCATTTCTAAAATCCTTCCTTCATACAATCTCTAGCGGGAATCTATCTTATTTTGCACATACAAAGCAAATATTGTTACGAGATTAGACGTTATTAGATTTGATCCCAGAAGCCGATAAAAAACTAATTTTTCAATTTTTTCTTAATTTTTAACATTAAACTAGGAGGTTCCCGCAAAAATGAAATATGACATTTTATCGGTAAAACAGAACTCCGACATCTCCTTTATATAAATTATATTATACTTAAGTTAAATCTCTATTCTATTGAAATATTGAAATTATGATATAATTAAATTATTTTCTTATAAACATCATACGTTAAAAATTAATCTTCAACATTTTTTTTCTGCGATTGGGATAAACAAATGAATGCAACAAAGACTATTATAAATATTTACAAAATTTATAAAACCATAAATGCCACTTGTGACACAAATAGCTCGATTAATATTAGATTCTTGTCACGTGAACGTCTTCAAAGATCAGTCTACTCTTTCATCGCCGTTCGAAAAAAACTTAGATAGTTTTCCGCGTTATACTTTTGCAAATCGTAACAGAAAAACGTGATAAATAGCTTGCCGCAGGTGATGAGCGTGAAAGCTCGCTCAGTCGTCTCGCAAATCGCGCGCATAATCGCGTGGCCAAGTTGGATGGTTAAACAGTTAATTAGGTGCTTCTGGTGCGACTTTACTTACCGAAAAAGCAGCATCAGACCTTGTATGAAGCTTTGGAAATTGTTGTGCTTGGTAATAGCAGTATCAGCATCCAGCGCGATGTTACCGAATACCTGAGACCCACAGAAAAAGGGCAGCCAAAAAGGCGCGACCGGCATTACAAATTTGTGTCACCAAATGTGCTTCTTTTTAAATAATAAAAAATCGAATAAGGATAGATAATTGAAATGTTCTCTGTTTCTCTTCTCGCTGGATGACCACTATTTCGATCTTTGTATCGCCTCGATCACGGTTTTGTGTATGTAATGAGTATTATATAGTAATTCAATATTGTACTTTCTAACTACAACCTCTCACATACTTTTTCTTTCAACAAGTAGACGATGTGCTCGGGAGAATTGAGATATGAACCATTTATCCCTGTCTTGAATAATTAAATTACACAGGCCTGCAAAAAAGGGGATCAAAATTTCTTTTTAAGATGCAATAGTGATTTTTGACGTAATTTTGTGCGCTGAATCCGAATCTGGCCGCCGAATTTGCGTAGCACGTCAGGTTTTTGAGTTATTTGTAGTTGAATAGCCCAAAAATCGATATTTTGGCCAATTTCATGAATTTATTGTGAGTAAACCAAATTTTTTAAAATATTTCTGTCAATGGCATCGTATAGTGCCCACTTTCATCTTTCGAATCCACTTTCGATTACCGCCGCACGATTTTTTTTCGCTCAGATATACAAGTTATAAGACTGGTCATGTATAAGGATTTAATAAGCCATTCTAAATCAACCGTGCCATCTCTCTATCTCACTACGAATTAAAATTAGGGTAAAAATATACATTTTTAAATACCTTCTGTCACCTTTTGAAATTAAAAATGGCGCATCCAATACGACGAATAGAAAAAAAAATCACAATAAAAAGAAAAATAAAATTTAGAAAAATTTATCAAAATGTGTAACAACTGTATTAGACATTTCTTTACAATATTTTTTTGACCAACCAAACCTGACATGTGTCAGTCTTTTCAAATTTCAAGATCATGGATCTAACATACTGATGTCTATGTAAATTTTCTTTAACGTAAATTTTCTTACAACGTCATACTTATATATCTCAGGGAAAAAAAATCGTGCAGCGGTAATCGAAAGTGGATTTGAAAGGCGAAAGTGAGTATTATACGATGCCATTTGCAGAAATATTTCAAAAAATTTCGTTTCCTCGCAATAAATTCATGAAATTGGCCAAAATAGTGATTTTTGAGCCATTCAATTACAAATTACTCAAAAACGTGACGTGCTACGCAAATTCGGCGGCCAGATTCGAATTCAGCTCACAAAATTACATCGGAAATCACTATTGCATCTTAAAAAGAAAAACCTCGCAGACCTGTGTTATTGATGTCCATAAAACTAATCGAAAGCTTAATTTGCGTTTAACATTTTTTTCATTTTGACGATTTGGTAATTCGATTAATCAAATAATCAATCATTTAGAGCCAAACAATTCAATAGTGATGAATCATCGACAATTTAATAGTGGAATATAACTAATCATATTTTTGATGAGAGACTTATTCTCTCAAGCACCGTCTTAATCATAATTCCAAAACTCTAACGCAGGCATCACTATGTGGAACTTGTCTATGGGATTGTTGACTAACTGGGGTGAATCACACAACAGATTAACACGTCGAGCAGCTTACTCTCGTTACAGCTCATGCCAACAAAGCAATATACGCTACCGATAATTTACGACGACAATACTTTCATATATTCCGTTCAACTTGTCGCTCTACATTCGACGACGTCTCCCACATCTGCGTCGCGCAAGATCTTTAACGGTGCTTCGCTCGCACCGTGAATGTCGAAAAAAAGCCAGCGATCGGTACACGTCGCGTTACAAGTCAGCCCACTTTTCCGCAACAAAATTCTAAGTTACTGTCGTAAACGAGACGAAAACATCGTGTAACATCGAAGGCACATTTAATGAAATTTGTCCTCTGTAAATCTCTCATGCTAGTTTTCCGTGACGTCATGGGGATCCTTCTGCGATACATGCGCGAAGCATCGTGAAAGATCGCGACGACGGATCAGGTGTGCTCCAAAAGTGTCTCTTCTTCGCGTACGAAGATAAATTTTCAGCGAGAGAAATTTCTCCTTATTTAAAATTATGATAGGAGGAAAGTGCGTAAAAGCGACACGTTTTAGTTCGCGTTATAAGATCCGTTTCTTCGTACGAAAAGGAAAACGACAGTCGGATCAGCCGCTGATCGGCCGGAGGTCACTCGTCGCCGTCGAAACGGCAGTCAATCTAGCTGCTCGACTCACCGAAAAAGCAACATAAGACCGGCGAAGAAGGACTGAAAGTTGTTGTGATCATCGATCGCTGTTTCCGGATCGTTCGATATATTGCCAAAGACCTGACAACGGACAATTTTAGGTTGTCAGCTGTCTGTCGCTTAAAATTCCTAGTCTGCAAGGATGCGCGTGCCAGAAACTATCTCCATGTTATTTCGACACTGCGTTTCTCTCTCTCGATTAGAAGTTGAGATTATTATATATAAATGACCTTAGCGTCTTCAAAATAATAATAATGAATATTCGGAGAACGATATGGCTACAATTACGTTGCGGCAATCATTTCTTATTTCTCATGGAGAGACCCCGAGGATCATTGATCAACGTATAGGAGTTTTTTCTCTAATTATTAATTACAAATTATTCCATATAAAATTATTCAAATATAAGAATTTGAAAGTCTCTTCTGTAAAAAAATCAAGTAATTCCGTAGCGCGTTATTTCCTCCTTTCATGTAGATCGCAAAGTTATATCAGGTTTATTCGTATCTCCGCTAAAATACACTACGATTATTACTTTAATTAATTTTCCGAACAATTAGATTACTCTTCAGTCCTGCACTCTTCTGTGCGTCATCCCTTAAAAACTTGTTTAATGAGCGAATTTATAGAAACGTTTTTAGGAATTCAAGCAAAGGGGATTCATACCTGCATACCAATGATGGCGTAGATGAAGAACAGCATTGCTATGAGGAGACAAACGTAAGGCAGAGCCTGGAAGAAAACGACTTTTTATTATTGCATCGTTATAAAAATTGATGAAAAATATGATTATCAAAATTTATAATAAAAGAAATTAAGAATGTTTTGTATGTACAATTTCAACAAAAAGTAGCTGAAAATCAATATTGACGAATATATCCACTTTTGGTGTATTTTGAGTAAGAAATTGTATGGAACATTACAATTTGATCTAGCTACAGCGCAGAGATTTATTTTTAATATTTATTGCGTTTTTACTGAAATATTCCGAATTTTGTTAATCGAAATGATTAACTTTTGGCAGAGAATTTCGCCTTGTGACAGATACATGGCTAACTTCATTCAATTATATTTAATATCTTTTTAACAGTACTTGTATAATATTATTTGACCAAATATTTCCTCTGTACTGTAACTAAACTTTTGTAAATTTTAAACAAATTTTGAATATTATTTCCATGTGTTTTTGTCATTTAAATCAACGTGATTATACGTTTTCCATAAAAACGCACGTTAATTCGGTGCAGATTAAAATCCTTATATCTTGTGAACGCTTTAGTGAATCGATTTAAAAATTGTACTGAAGATTCTAAATAAATGTAAGGACATTCTACAATTTTCATTAAATTCTCAATATTTTGAAAATAGATACAAAATATCCTTAATCGAAATGATTAACTTTTGGCAAAGAATTTCGTCTTGTGACAGATGCATGGCTAACTTGATTGAATTATATTTAATATCTTTTTAACCAGTTAGTACTTGTATAATATTATTTGATTCAATATTTCCTCTGTATCTAAACTTTTGCAAATTTTCAACAAATTCTGAATATTATTTCCATGTGTTTTTGTCATTTGAATCGACGTGGTTATACGTTTAGAACACATGTTAATTCAAATCAAAATCCAAATTGCAAATTAATCCTTATAACTTGTGAACGCTTTAGTGAATCGATTTAAAAATGATACTGAAGATTCTAAACATATTTAAGGACATTCTGTACAATTTTCATTAAATTCTCAATATTTTGAAAATAGGTACAAAACATCCTTAAAAGTATTCTTCAAAAATCAAGCTAATAATTACGATGCATGAAATAAGAAAAATATAAATCAATTACACAAATTAGAGCTTACTTTAAAGGATTGTACGAAGGTCCAGAGTAAAATTCGTATCGTGTAACCCTGCCTGAGTAGTTTGATCAGCCTGGCGGCGCGAAAGAGCCTCAGGAAACCGACATTGATGAAATTCTCCTGCAGGGAACAGAGAAAATTGCACTTAACCCCACAAAATGCCGACTTCTTCTCTGTACACTAGAACGGAGCTTCGCGCGTGCAGCGTTTCGGTATTTGCACGTGACGCGTCAAAGGATATCGGGAAAAATCATTTTGACGTGTCCTTTTTTTTCTACCTTGACGATGCACGAACGAAGCTTTAGAGCAAGTCAATATTTTGGCGCGATAAAAATAAAGATGTTTAAAATTTATATGTAATTTCGATATTTAAGAGAGACTAAGGGTCTTAAAGAAATGCAAGATCACTGCTGAAAGAGGAAACGAGGAATTAAAATGTATTACTCTAATAATTATTAAATTATTATTATACAAAAAGAACTCTATTTTTAATATAACACAGTCTAATTGTTACAACAATAAATTAGTTGTATTTTTGTTGTAAGTTTAATTGGCCATTTCATTGAAAATTAATTTTGTTTACTATAAATATATGAATTATTATTTAATCAACTTTTATAAATATCAACGTTTATAAATTAAATTAGAGCTGCTGAATTCTCTTTCTCTATCTCTCTTTCTAATGCACATTGATGATTTTTGAAGTTAAAGAATATTAATGAAAAATTATGTTTTACTTTAATAAGTTCTTTTAATTATTCAATTCTAACGTGAATAAACACGTAATTACGCCAACCCTTTTGCTGTAATAAAATTGTATTTAACTTTCACATCCGATTTAATAAGTCGAAATAGAGATTAATTCACAAGACATCGCATCCATATGCTTTTAAAGTATAGTCTGTAGTGTAATTATAATGTAACAACTACTTGAATTGTTGTCAATGTTGTAAAATGTACGAGATTGTTAGTGTAAAATGCACAGTCTATGTATTTAGAAAAGTGCATGCATAGGATAAGAAACGGGGATAAAAGTGACTCTTGATCTAAAAATAATTTTTAGAAAGATCCTCGAAAGAATATAAAGTACTATTTTCAGAATCTAGTTTCTCTTTTTGTCTGCAAATAATTATAAATAAAATCACATCGATTTCATTCGCCAAGTTTACCATAATTTTTGCTACGAACATATCGGGAAATAAAAATAATAATAATAATATATAAATAACGTACAAAGATAGCTATGTATAAAATAATTGTAATTTTTTTATTAGTGAAAAAAATTGTAAAGAAAAAGAAACTTATATATTTGATCTCTACATAAAAATAAAATTTAGAATCGAGAGAATAACATTATTAATTTTATACTTGCAATATCTGCGTCCAACTTACGTCCTCAACGTAAAAATTGTATAATTTTATACCTTTTTTTCTAGCTGGCCATCACTGAACATGCTCCTTATCCGGTCCTATTACAAAAATATGCGAGATTGCGAGATTATTCCATCAATATTTTGAACTTCTGATTGTTCAACTTCTGGCAATTACGATAAGGACATAATAACTGCCAAATGAACATTGATGATGGAAAAACTTCAATAAGCAATTCGTTTCAGATGCATTTTTTACGATAATTCTATCTATCCTTTTACCATCTCTAAAACATATTTTTATCAAAAATATTTTTCAAGCATAAGCAGAGAGCAATTATAAAAAAATTGTTTACTCATTACATTTTTTTTCTCTGATTTGCAGTTTAATTATTCATATACATATACATGTTTGACTAGATCGTAATTTCTACTTTAGGACTTTAAAGAATCAATGCCATTTGTGTGACTTGGAAGAAAGTGGATAAATATTCTTTCTACTTCTTTTCCTACTTTCAAACAATACACCTGACATTGATTAAACTAATTACAGACTGATCTAGTCACAAAATATCGATAAAAGGGGAACGTATCTATAAATAAAGGATTTGTAACGGGAATATGTTTATCTGTAAGTAACTTGTTGTTTTACTATACTGTGCAAATGTAACGATGTATAGTGTGATGTATATAGCGTATGAATACAGTACGAAGCTAAAAAGATAAAGGTATTTGAGATACACACTTCGTTGTAATTTACCTGCTAGCTTGTCACATGATTGCGAATCTAAGTAAGCAGCAAAAGGGTTAAACGAAAGGCAAAGTACACATCAAGCAACACTTTTGCGATGTTAAGGCTTACTATTATAGATGCATGTTTTGACAAAATTTCGAATAAATTCGCTTCGTGAGAGTTAATTTAGTATGTTAAAACAATTAGAAAAGTGGCTTAGTGCGCCTTCGCACTATTTTCACAAGAAATTTCGTTCGTTAATATTCTCTTTATGATAAATATGATATTCTTAAATTTTAAATTTAAGAAAATTTAATTTAATTTTTAATTTTATACTTAAATTTAATTTTATACTTAAAAAAAATTTTTAATTTTACTACTCAAATTTATTCTATATTTTTAACTCTCAATTTTTACAATCTTTAAAAGATAAATGAACAAATGATGTTTCTTTGCAACACTAAATTTTAAAACGTAATACAATTTTTAATAATTACACAATTATATCCTATGCAGACATACAAATATACAGAGTGTCTTAGATTTAACGAGTCAGCCGTTAATGATAGATTCCTGAGATCATTTGGAAACGAAAATCTTAATACCAAAATGTCGAGGAAGATGTAATTTCGGCGCTACAAAAGACTAAAGATTACCAATCGGCGCGTTACGTTCTCCTGTGCTCAGGGACAGGGGGCACAGGAGATCCGCGTACAGCGCCAGTTTGAACATTTTTATGAAGTTTTCCTCAACATTTCGGTATTAGAATTTTCGTAACGCGTCGATTGGTAATCTTTAGTCTTTTGTAGCGCTGAAACTACATCTTTCTCAACATTTTAGTATTAGAATTTTCGTCTCCAAATGACCTCAGGAGTCTGCTATTAACGGCTGATTCGTTAAGTCTGGGACACTCTGTATAAAACTTTTCATGCAACTACATCATTTGCTTGCATCATCACCACCTTCATTTGTATCAATCTAGTCATCGGATCAATGCTGACGTTTTTTGCGACTTTATCAAAATGGCTTTTGTCAAAGCAAACAACCATCACAGTGTAGCCTCGAATTTCCCGGGAGATTCCAGATTACATGTGCATATACCTGGAAGAGTTCTATTACGGGTTATAGTAGCTAGAACGCGATTAACACACTTATATTCTCTTTTTGACTACTTTTACGGTGCTCTACATACCCCGAACTCGATCACGAGGGCGTCCACGATGCTGCCGATCACCGTGATGAAATCGAAGGTGTTCCAGGAATCCTTGAAGAAGTTCTGTTTATGGGAACAGTCAAAAAAATTGATTAGCAAGATAATCTTTGGTCGTTTCCGTTCGATATTTGATTGTACTACCCCGAAGCTCGCTAAACAGCTCCGACACGTTTTCTATGTCAACAGATGCAGATTAGAGCTCTAATTGTCTGTACAATTCTGTAGACGAGCAATCAGAATCAAAGCCAAGACACCATGAAGAGTAACAATTGAAAATTAGACATACTACAAAGAAGAATTCAAAAGTTAATAATTTCTTATACAAACTTAAATATAAATTTTAAAAATATATTGTGCTATTTACAGAACTTTACGCACACTCGTTTCGTATATAACTGAAGATATTCAAGTAAATTGTTCTAGAATCGTGTGTATCGATATTTCGTAAAAGTATTTTTTCTGAATTTTTTACCATATTTAAGATTATTGTGTTGCTTACCTTCAGTGTTTGCTATAGATAATTACAAAATTATCTAGATAAAGATAAAGATAAAAATCCGTAAATTTATCATAGATGAGATAAATATGATTTTGCTGTTACTTAATCTAGATGAAAGATGAGATAATTATTGCGATAATCTAGATAATTATCAAGATATTTTTGTTTATTTTAGAAGACTATAAATATTTGTAAAAAAATGTGACACAGATTATAAATGGGATATTAAAATCATAAATACATATTCCTTCTCTTTTCCTAAAGAATATTTAAATAATAGCAAAAAGGTATATAAATGATATGATAAATATTTATTTATTAATTTATATTTATAATATATTTATAATATATTTATAATATATTTATAATATATTAATAATATAATAATAAAATATTTATAATATATTAATAATAATAATATAAAAAATATATTTTAGACATTTTAGATAGATTTTTAAAAGCTTGCTTTAGATTTTTGGAAAACTTTTTTGCATAATGAAAACGTCATCTTAGACAATTTTTAGATAAGGTGACATATATTTTTCATCTAAGATAAAGATAAAGATACTTTGTATTTCTTCATCTAGTTAAAGATAAAGATGATCCATTCTTTATCTAGATCTGATTATCTAAATAATTTTATCTAGATACCAGCAAACACAGCTTACCTTGCTAGGGCGCTTTTCCAAATTCAGTCTTGCGCTGTGATTGCTTAGAGAAATAAGAAAAGTAAGAGCTTAGAAATTATAAATAGATAACATACAAACATTCCCATATCATCAGCAAATAATCTATTATTTTTGACGACCCTCCGAATTTTTTCAATGAACTTTGTCTTCATCGTGTCTTGACCTACGTAAATATTCATAGCAAGCAATCTTGATAAATCATTTACATATCTCTGTGATCTATTAAACGAACTTGGGCGTAGCTTGAGTGTTTGTGAGACATGTTTGCGTAGCTACAACTAAAGAAAAACTACAAGATTTCCGAATACACGAAAAATATGGCACAGTATGCTTCTTCTGTGAAAGTACACGCTATTTAGGGTGTATGTGTGTGTAAGTGCTTTGTGTACGTGTGTTGTGTGCATGTTTGTGTTTGTGAGAACTCCTATATGAATGTCGTATTGTTTATGATCGCGAAACTTTGTAATGTGGTAACTTCTTTAAATGGTGCTTCTGAATCGTTGAACAAATCTTTTCGTAAAAAATAATTTTTCAACAAAATAATTATTACCTAATCAATTATTAATATTATTTAATTACATGATTAATAATTAAACATGCTTTATCATAAAATTCTTTTTCACGTAGACGTAAAAAATTATTGTAATTGTTAAAAGCGATTAAATAATTTATTTCAAGAAATAAGAATTTATATTTTAAGAAACAAGTTTTATGTATCTTTATTTTTTAAGTAATTTAACTCTTAAATAAAATTGTTTAATTAATTAAACAATAGAGAATATGTTATTATTCTTATGTTAAGTTCTGTAAAAAAAAAAAACAAATTTCATCTTTCCATTTTTATATTTGTAATAATTGTAATGCTCATCGATATGTTTAGTTTTGGAATATTTATAAAAATTTTTATGAAAAGATCTAGAAGACGAAGAGATCTGTTTTCGCGAGAATTCTCTCTAAAGCGTTTACCCATGTTACACGCTTTGGTGATCGATAATCGGCTGGAGTACAAGTGACGGGATCTCCTCTAGAGAAGTATCTACGGGAGCATGCCGGTAATAGCAAGCAAACTAGAGAGAGAGAGAGAGAGAGAAATATAGATAGAGACACGCGAATTTAATGTTCAATATTTTTCTACTTTGAACCAGAAAAAAGGAATCGTCATTTGATATCACGCAATACATAAGAAATGATATCACATATTGCATCAGTTATTTAAATTCAAGATATATATATATATATATATTTCTATAAAAAATTCATGTTAAAGTTTATCTTTTGATTCAATGCTGACTTTGAGATGGTTTTAATTTGACAAAAATTTATTTGACCGTCATTTTTTACTTCTTAATTTAAGCTTTCAATTTCTTAATTTGTTTTAATTATATCTTTTGAGAAATTCTACAAAAAATTTATTGAAAAAAAGTTATTTTACAAAAAACTTATTTAAAAAGTCAGCTTATAATTAAATAAATAAATCAAATGTTTATTCTTCCAGAATTTTTTATATAGGTGTTTAAAATTTTTGGTGTTTTAATTGCGAAAAAGCTGTTTTGGTGTTTTAATTGCGAAAAAGAACCGTTCAGTAAATATAAATTAATTTTAATAATACATTAATCATGACCAGCTTAATATTTATATATCAAAAATTCACTAAATTTATTAAGTTTACATCAAATTCGATATCTATCAAATCTCTAAGAAGAAGTAACAAATTATTTGAAGCTCATAAATGGCGAAATCCTGTTTTCTGGCGATCGCTACTTCTTGAATAACTATACAGATTTGTGTAGAAATCTCGTACCAAGAAACTTTACTTTGAATTGTAATATATTTTTTTTTTATTTTATTTGCGACAAGCAGTTTCGCGATGTCTCGGTGTGTTCCCTTCCGTTCCTCTCGCCAGTTTTCGGGATCCCCACTTTCTTCACGTGAATCCTCCGACCGGTAAAATCACGCAATTAATGATGACCGATGAGTGATATCAGTCTCGGTGGATTTAGTGGTATATAATTGCGGTGTGAATCGAGTGAGAGTGGTGAAGTTAGAGCGATTTAAAGGCTTGTTTATACCTTGCATCCGAAGGCGACGAGTTTAAGGATGCACTCAATGAGGAAAAGGAGGGTGACGACCAAGTTCACGATGGTCAAGAAGTCCAATAAAACTGCCGGCGCTTCGTGATACTACAAAATACACCCAACACACAGACGTAACACAACCCAGATTCTAATATATTCCGCAGTGCGTCCTGCATATCACATATTATGTATATTTTCACACATCTCTATATCTCTTTATCTCCTATTTAATTATATAATCTCTGTATTCGATCGCTCATTTCGTCTATTTTTCGTCCAAGCAAAGAACCCTGCTATTGGATTTACAGAAGAAATATTTCTTTGCGCAAAATAAATCTGGAAATATGTCTTCTCTTGTGAGATAAAAAATATTTCTCAAATTTATTACCAATCGTTTCACTTTTAAATTTCTTTTTTTCAAACTTTTATTAAGGATGTTTTGTACCTATTTTCAAATTATTGAGAATTTAATGGAAATTGTACAGAATGTCCTTACATATGTTTAGAATCTTCAGTACAATTTTTTAAATCGATTCACTAAAAAAGCGTTTACAAGTTGTAAGGATTTTAATTTGCACCGAATTAACATGTGTTCTTATGAGAAACGTATAACCACGTCGATTCGAATGACAAAAACACATGAAAATAATATTCGAAATTTGTTGAAAATTTACAAAAGTTACAGAAGATACAGAAGAAATAATATTATACAAGTACTAACTGGTTAAAAAGATATTAAATATAATTGAATGAAGCTAATATTAATAGAATTATTATAACTTATTAAAAATTATTCTAACTTATTCATCCATTAATCAAACAAGATGAATATTACTTTTAATTATATTTAAAAACACTCTCTGACTTTTGTACTTTATTATTTATTCTATTATTCTACTAATAATTAATTTATTATTCCAATTTTTAAAATTATCATATAATTTTTTTTATAATATTCAATCACTAACTTTCAACTAATCTATATATTTTTATTTTTTAATATAGCAAGATTACCACCCTTATCTTTTTTTTTATAAAATGATTTAGAGTATTTACATTTATATTTAATTCCCCCGATCTATTATTTTTAATTATTATTATATTAATTAATTCTTTTATTTTAATTTATATTTATATTAATATAATAATTCTATTAATATTAGCTATGTATCTGTCACAAGGCGAAATTCTCTGTCAAAAATTAATCATTTTGATTAACAAAATTCGGAATATTTTAGTAAAAACACAGTAAATATTGAAAAATACATTTCTGCATTAGCTAACAAAGATCAAATTGTAATATTCCATACAATTTCTTACTCAAAATACACCAAAAATGGATACATTCGTCAATATTGATTTTCAGCTACTTTTTGCTGGGTTTGTACATACAAAACATCCTTAAATATATTTATATTTTAATTACAAATTTCAAGTAATGCATCTCAAAAGTTTGTAACGTAAGAAAGCAAATTTTTCGTAATTACACTGCTATTTTCGAAAACATTTTTTATAGTATTTATGTGATATTATATCAAGGTATACAAATTTAAAAATTTATATTCCTTCTGGCGAATTATTCAGAAAATTGTTTGGATAGGAAATTATTATTTTTAATAAAATAATACTATTTAAAATTACATAAATTTTGCAACAACTCGACTCGAATTTTTCTTATTTTTTGAAGAGGCATTTCTTCTTCGACATTATCACAAGCAAATCTAACCAATCTCTCACAGGATAACTTTTCAAAGACTCGTATACGTGTACGTAAATCCCGATCGGTGTGTATACGACGTTCAATTCCATGTGTGCTGAGTGTGTGCTCGTGAGACGGAAATTTATACTCTTTCTCACAACACAATGGCATGCATGCGATGAATAGGAACGAGGAGACGCTTTCGCGTCTGCTCCTCGACTCGAATCTTGTCATGATTATCATATAAATCATCGTTACGATCATCATCGTCATCATCATCATCATCATCATCATTATCATCATCATCATTCTCGTCACTTCGTCATCGCCACTGTCGTTATTTCCGGCCGGCAAAAAACACGCAGTCATAATAATCGTGACGTACGCATGCGAGGATCAAAAACATGTCAGACCGTGCAAGTGATTGCGTGCGGATGCAGGCAAAAGGCGGCGGGCAAGGCATGCAAGGGATGTCAAAAAACGGAGCTTCCTTTCTGTACACCTATCTTCGGTTATTTGAGACTTCCTCTTGGATTTATTTCTCGCCCGTTTTGAGTTGCCGGTTTTCGAAAGTACTTTGGAAATCAACAGAACTCACAGGAAGACGGAAAAAGAAAAAGAGACAGAGAGAAGAATGAGAGATAGAGACAGATAGAGAGAAAGAGACGCGAACTAAAAATAACCCGATGAAAGAGTTGTGTTCTCGATTCGTCGTGTTTTGGGTATTCGTGAGTGCCAGGTGTATGACATATGAATCTTCATGTCTGAGTGTGTGTGAGTGTAAATATTTGTGTGAATTGCATTTTGACTGAAGAGCGTGCTTGTTAGCTTTCTTTGCCATTAAATAAGCTCCATTAAATTATAAATTACAATAAATTATAAATTACAATAAATTTAAAATACAATAACATGTAGAATGTTATGTTTTTCTAGATAAACTCGCTCTAGAGTGTTTAATATTACGATTGAATATCTACACGTATGTTTGACAAATATTCAAGCGTAATTCAAATTTGTTTAGTATCTTGTATGAAGTGTAATTAGCTATCGTGATAACGGGACAAACTAGATAAATAAATTAGCATCGTAAAAGGGTAAAATTAACATTGTTCACAAAAATCAAAATGGCAGTGTTAAATTGACAATTAATGATCCCGTTATCATTGTGTCCAATGTAATTATGGATTTAGAAAATTTGGGAAGATTTACATATCATTTTTCTTTACATAGCACTTTATTATAAATGTTTGTATCTGATTCTGAATTATTTTGAGAATTATTTTATAAAATTCATATAAATTATTAATAAATAATTTTGTCTTAATTATTTCTTAAATAAATAGTCGCCGAAAAATTTTTTTAAAATCCTCAGCTAATCATACGTGAAATGATAAATATAAAACGACGAGGTAAGAAGGAAAGAAAAATAATCAAGAAGCTAATTTCTAGCATAATTGATATTAAATTTTCCATCCGTAAAAAAAATTCAGAATCAGACGGAGACGAAAGTGAGCGTTTCAATGCCTTAAATCTATCTTCCCAAATTGCCCTGAAGCCTTGATTACGTGTACAGAGCTGAGCATTTTTCTGCATACTAAAGTACTTGTAGAGTTTATCTTATGGGTACGGTCCCAGAGACAAGACAGCGAGAGTACGTGTATAATAAAAAAAAGAAGTTCTATCTAGGATCTTGCAACTATATCCTTGCATAGAAGAGAGCACCATCGAAAAAAAATATACAATTCTAGTTCTATCGAGATACATATCTATATCGTTCGTACGAGGTATATCGAGAAATGGAAACGCTACAACTACTCCGACAGCATCTAGCGCTTGTTCAGCCCTGCGCACAGAAAGTTCACTAAATAGTATATTCTATATACTTTTGTACACGCGCGAGAAAATAGAAAGTATACGGAATATCTCCGGAGTACCGAGAATATTATTTGAGACTTTTTCTACATCGGTACTCGCGAAGAAAACGCTCTAATTACTTTCTAATAAGCGGCACTTACCGGGCGACGCGAAAATTGGCCCTCGTGACGTTCCCTCTTCTCCCACGATATTTTTTTATAATCGCATATTTATTGCATTAATTTATTTTTTTATATGTTATTCTGATAAATCAACGCGCACATTTAATAATCGTTGAATTATTTTAATTTAAATTAATTATTTACGTGTTTCATCTTCAATTATTCAAGCGGCTTTTTTTCGGGAAAACGATTACGAGGGGCCATTTTTCGCGCTACTCGACCTGGCGAGAGTCTCGAATTATGAATCTCGCTTTATTCGGAATATACTGAGAAATTCGATGAGAGAAAATTGTTGGTAGTATGTGGAGCCTACCTTCACGCCGAATGCGGCGATCTTCAGTATGCACTCGACAGTAAACATCCCCGTGAAGCACATGTTCATGTACTTCAGCGTATTCTTGTACGACTCGGTTTGCCGATGATACTGCAATGCATACACTGACAAATACACGGCCGACAAACAAACATATGTATGTACAAGCTTATAAAATTGCATGATTCGTGTGAAGAAAATTTTCTTTTCTATTTTATTTCTTAATTTTTCCTTTCTTTTCATTAGCACGACCCCCTTCCCTTCCCTTCCCATCCGACGAGAAGGGAAGAAGTGGCTCCGTTTTTCTTTCCTTTTTCTCTTTCACGCCGAAACTCTGTGCACCGATACATGAACATTCTGTGCTGCACAATAGATATCGTCATAACGGAGTCAAACTTGCATCAGCAAGATTAATATGTTGGAAGAAGTGTGCAGTGCGCTTTGGAATCGTTTGTGCCTTCAGATGTAATTGACAAATCTAATTTTATAGTCTCCAATCTTTTATCGAATAATGTATCATATATAAAATAATTCTGGAATTCGCGAAAATTAACCCTGCTGAAGCAGCCTCACTCCCTTCATGCTATTTTATTTGCTGTAAAAATTGCATCGAATGCAGGAAATAGCCAAAATAAAATTTTTTGGAGTAAGAGTATAAAATAAAGATAAGATTTTTAAAATAAATTATATGTATCACGTTGACAATGATTTGCAAATCAATGTTTAAGTCAGCTTATTCGTGTGTCACGAATTGGTACACAGTTTTAATCATATACGGTATGTCTAATAAAGCGCGCGATATACAGGGTGTACTAAAAGTCTGGAAACGGTCGAATATTTTATAAATTATGCACTTTAGAAATATTTCAGACAAAAGTTGTATGGCTTGAAGAGGGCCATAAGATGGTGTCATTGATTTAACCTTGGAAAGTCGTTTGAAGATCACGTGAAGGTCACCTTTAATTTTTTTAATTGAACTACCTATTTTTTATTACTTATTCTTGCAGCTTATCTCGAGAGCTTTCCAAACACTATAATAAAGTATTTCTTCATTTCTTATTTTTCGAGTTATGAGGCTTGAAATAATTTCTTGATTTTACATAAACCATAAAATATCTAGTAAAATATTCATTTTTCGATTATCTTATCTTAATACTTTTATGTACAAAATAATGAGTGGAATCAATTGCTGTAAAGAAGACACATAGTTATTTTTAAGAATTAACAATTACATTTTTTTTATTCCTTTTTTGATTCCTCTAATTATTTTGTACATAAAAGTATTGAAGTAAGATAATTGAAAAATAAATATTTTATTAGATATTTTATAGTTTATGTAAAATTAAAATATTATTTTAAGTCTCATAACTCAAAAAGTATTCAATGAAGAAATACTTTATTATAGTGTTTTGGAAAGCTCTCGAGATAAGTTACAAGAATAAGTAATAAAAAATAAACATAAAATAAAGGTTCAAACGAAAACTTTTAAAGGTCAAACCAATGACACCATCTTATGGCCCCCTTCAAGTCATACAACTTTTGTCTGAAACATTTCTTTCTAAAATGCATAGTTTATGAAATATTCGATCGTTTCCAGACTTTTGGTACACCCTGTTTGTGAATTATATATATGTTAGAAATATAGTGATGAATGTCATCTTATATTCGAACAATGTGGGGAGGATATCTCTTTTTTTATATATATGTCGTTAACTTATACGAATCTACTGGGTGTGTGTAGAAATATATACTTAATGAAATGTCTGTTTTCTTATATTCCTGCGGTTGGTCTTTCATTCAACGAATGTGATGCATATGTCAGCTGTGTGTACATGGATATACCAGTACCATTATATGCACTTTGTGTTATACCTTTTTAAAAACATGACTAACATGAGATATCTTGATCATACTGGTATAATTAATAATTAATTCTTTTCATCTTAATTGGCATTAATGGATAGTATATCGGGGATTTTCTGAATGATGGATACTGCCGGAAGCAACGACAAGAAGAAAATTATTTAACATTATACAAAGAATCTTTTTTAAGACAAATTTTTCTTTTTAAAATTTGTAAAAATTTTAAATAATAAAATAAATAATAAAATATACATAAAAAGAGAGATGTATAAAAATTCTTATGTTCTCCGATATTTAAGAAAAATAAAATAAAATCTAATTCTAAAATTCCAATGTTACGTTAACTGATAAACATTAAATGCAATATTTAAGTTTATTGGATAAAATTTCATGGTATCTTTTATGCGTCAAAATTAATTCTCTTCTCATCATCATCTCCCACGGACGTCTGGACTAGAAGTTGGATTGAATCTAAGTGTCTAAAGAAATTAGTCGCGAAACCGATAAAGATTGTGATAAGAAGAAAAAGAGAGAAACGATTGAGAAGGAAAACGTAAGAAAAACAATGAAAAACAAAGATATTTAAAGTAAGTGAACCTCCGGAACACAAAAAGAGTGCAATTCAATTAACGAAGGGATCGTCAGGAGGTTACGAAACTTCGTTTCTCGAAGTGCTTACATCTTTTTGCAATCTGTGTCTTTCTTTTCTTTTTTTTTTTTCGTTCAAGGGAGGAACGAGGAAAGGGTAAAACGTGCGGTCACCCCGTGCAGAGTGTGTTTTTTGTCACTGTAAAACACACACACACACATTCAGTGGATATCTAATGTTGTTGCTGTTTTGCTCAACTTCTAATATTGGTCGATCTGTTTCGGGCTCAGCCAGCATGCGACACGCAGTCTTGCACGTGTGTAAGAAGAAGTGCGTGACACCTAATATGTATATACATCGTACATCGCCATTCGAACGAAGGCAATCAATTACAATCGACTAGCGTCGAAGATTGATTTTAATTTGCGTTACATTATCTCACAATTATTAATTCTCTATTTTAATAATTAATTATTTTAATAATTATTATTTTAATAATTATTTTAATAATTAAGTATTAAATAAGTATATTAATTATTATGAGACTAGAATAATCAATCTTGCGATTTCGAAATAAAGTGACACATCTCGTATATCTAGAAGGGAAGAAATTTGCTTTCAACTAGTCAAGTCACAAGTTTGTTATTCTAGTCGTGAGAAATATATTGACGGAATAAAATACAAATATTTAATTTTTTAAATGTCACTATTTCCTTTCTCTTAAAATTTCAAAGTGCTCGTTTTTACATAGTAATGCCAAAGTAATAATGAATATTGTCTCCCCTCGTTCGCGCAAGCGTTCGAGCAAAATATATGAACACGTAGTATCTCACTTGGTATGTGCTCTCAAGACCTGGTGCAGTGCGTGTGCAAGTGATCTGAACATTCCGTGTTTTCTTGTCTTTCTTTCAGGCAAACAAGTCCGATCGCAAATCATATAATCGGGCGTGAATTAGAATCAGCGCATGTGTGTGTCTAGATCTCTAATTCAACGAGTCCGAACTCAAGCTGTGATCTCGTTCCAAAGAGAAATGAAGGTAAAATATCTATCTCGTGCGTTCTTAAACAACCTGTACAAGTCAAGGGAACTGAGAGGCAAACGAAGAGATCTAGAATTAGGTTCTAGAATTCAGTTCACGTGATTGAAAACGTGCGCGCGCGAATCCGGCTACTTTTCTCTTATCGATTCGCACTCGTTTATTCTAACAACAAATGAATAGAGAATCGGAAAAGTGAATCAAATGAAACATTTCACGGAGAAAAATGGGACAAAAGTATCTAACTCCCAGTCGGAAAAATTAATGATAGAAATAAGTTGAAGAAAATAACATTCGGCGAACAAATTTTTTATTTAAAACCCAATGAATTTAGAACCCGAATATATATATATATATATATATATATATATATAAATTTCAAATTTACCTCGCTTAATTATTAGTGACGTATTAATGACAATTATTAATCAAGCGGAATGAAATTTAGAACAAAATAAATGGAACATAACGTGAAAACTTTTTTAAAATTAGCAGTTATTACTTAAAATTGTTGTAAACATTTCCTAATTATTTTAATCGTCTCATAAAATCATTAAAAAATTATTATTACTCTTGTATCATTAAAAATTAATAGTTTATATTTTCCAATGATTTTGCGAATCCCGACTGTACAATAAATGAACACTGACTAAATAATATTTTTAATAATTATTTCCTAATAACTACTAATTTTTTTGCATTTCTCTCATTTAACCAAAAATTTAATTACTTAATTTCACATTAGTATAACAAGTTTTAACGTTATTTGAAAAATCTGCCATTGTTGCATTCCAAGAGAAAAGAAAAAGTTAAAAGGTAGTATTTTAAAACAGCATGTGGGCTCGCGTGCAGGACTCGTAGACGTCAAGAAGGTGCAATCTTTTCCGGCACCTCGGCTTTCTAAGTCATTTCAAGCGAGGTTGAGGTGCAACGCGACTGCCTCACTTTACTACCAGTTAAATCATGGTATTAGCGAGGCGAACGCAAAAATCGAACGCACGTCGTGTTAGTATCTGTGTGTGTTATTGTGGATATCACATTGATGTTGAAAAACATATTCCCTTCGCACGTTTTCGAATATAATCTACTTCGAAAACGAGGACACAGCAGTTTTTTGTTAGCCATGCAATTGGTCGAACGAGGGATCAGAAACTGATTTTGAGATAAGGAAAACAAGTTTAAAACAAAGTAACCGAGCAAAGAAAACATTCTCGTCTTATCGATCCTCAAAGTATCAAGACAATAAAAAATGTTTACAAAAATTGTTATAAAAATTATCATACAAATTGAGGCGCCATTAATTTTGCCTCACGATTTCAATATTAAACGTAAGTCTTTTATAAAAATTCGCTTAACATTTTGAAGATCAAATATCGATAATACTTGCAAATTTAATCCGTTGAAAATATACTGAGAAATTAATTAAAATAAACATAGAATAATGATTAAATTAAATACACGACTCATCAATTATCGAAGGAGAGAAGGAGAAATAATATGAAATCGTTAGTCGATTATTAGAGATGCAAATAAATGTCAGAAATAAAATAGTAAAAGTGACACGGACAATATATATATCGCTCGAGAAAAGGAGAAATTTTGCGAGGGCAAGTTTCAAGAACAGGATAAGATAAAATTCGACATAGCTGTGTACACGTATTGATATAAAATACAAGGGTGATACAGTTATACAAAGAAAACGATTAAAAAAGATCAGCAGGCAAGAACAACAATGTCCTCGTACGTATATATAACGTATAATGTGATATATAAATATGATACAGTCATTCGTAGTATTACGTACGCTGCGTTTTTAGACGCGACATAATCTCGTTTATGATATCGCGTATCTTCATTATGCTAACAAGAGAGGATACTGTTTGTCGATTGGTTAAAGTTGCCGATAGATCTAACGGGTCTTACGCTAAAAGAATGCATGGACGTTGAAAAGAAACTGGGAACGATAAGTATCGCAGGACTGAAAAATAAATGAATGATACATCGCAGTTCCAGCAAGACTGAGACCTATAAGTGCGCCGAATTTTTATTTTCTTTAGTTAAACACATCCGATATATCAGTATTTAATTATAAAAATATTAAAAAATATTTTTTATATTTTTTATATTAATATTAAAAAATATTTTTTGCATTAGGAATATTAGCTAAATTTTAAACGGATGATAAACAACATTTTCTACTCGATTGATGCGTACTGGAAAATAATAATTTGCACTTATGTCCCCTTCTTATTTAGAGCCGCAACATGAGAAACCGAAAACAAAGGTAGTTTGAAAATTATGTAAAAATTCTCTTGAACCGATTTGATTTGTGTTCAAAGGAATTTTTAAACGTAATTTTTGTTTTCGATTCATCTCATAGAAGGGATGCGTATTGTGGGAGTCTTTCTTTTTTTCATTATCCGCATTTTCTATACCAGAGCTGATCGGGGAGAAAAATTTTTTAATTTGATTAGCGAAATTCTCTTTAGAGAAATTTGAATGCGGAAGAGAGACTATAGGACACTTACCTTCATCATAAGTAGTATCGTATTCAATACGATGAGTATCATGATAAAATATTCAAACGGTGTGGATACGACTATCCTCCAGATTTTGTACTTTACGCTATTCCGTTCCTTCGGCATGTACCTCTCGAGCGGACGAGCTTGTATTGTAAAGTCTATACAAGATTTCTGAAAGATTAATACAAAATTATTAACACTTGATACTAACAAAAAGATAGATTCTTACGTAATCGCATTATTTAAAATACATTTGGATGAAAAAGAAAATTAAAACAACTAGGAAATTACAAAATAAATATAAAAAAATTTATATACCTTTGAAGAAAAATTTGTAATTTAAAAAAATAAAAATATATAATATATATTTAATATAAAAAAATAATTTTATATCTCTTATCGATGTAATAATTTTATATCTTTTTATTTTGTACGCAAATTATATTTTTTTTAATCGTTAGAATTTTAATCGTTAGAATTTTTTAATTGTTCCATGGAACGACTTCGCGTTATCACCAATTTAAATTTTTATATTGATTATCAATAAAAAAATAGAGTATACTTCGATAAACGAATTCAATACAAGTGAAAGAAAAATGATTGACTTGCAGGACATCACCTGATTTTTATCAATTTCACCGTCCTGTAATTCAGCTTCTCCCTGCTCCTGAAATGTGATGATAATCAAGGCCACGAAGATGTTGACAAAGAAGAATGGAAAGACGATGAAGTAAACGATGTAAAAAATGGACATCTCAATGCGAAAGTTTTGGATGGGGCCCTGGTCCTCGTACGTGGCCGCCATCGAGTTCTGCAGAATTTGCGGCCAGCCCTCGCCGGTCTGGACGGCGAACAGCGTCAACATGGCCACCATCACGTTGTCGTAGTGAAAGGACTGGGATTGCCAGGTCCGATTCCTGGGCTCCGGCAGCATGTTACCTTCCTCGAAAACGAAGTATTGACCGCTGTTGCGAAAACAAAATTAGTCTCTCCATTTGTCTTCCCTTTCCCTATTCATAGTTTCGATCGTTATTATTAAATATTCTAATATTTATTAATATTTAATAAATATTTAATTAATAAATATTTAATTAATATTTAATATTTAATTAATATTTAATATTTAATTAATATTTAATATTTAATTAATATTTAATATTTAATTAATGAATATTTATTGATGTTCCCATTTACTTGTCTCCCAAAGACAAGTAAGTGGGACAATTGGTAGCGTACTCACTTGCAATCCTTTCTCGTATACTTGCTCTCGTCGGAGCAGTAGAAAAATTTACCATTGAACAGCTGCACCGCGATCACAGCGAATATGAATTGAAACAATATGTACACTATAAGAATGTTAATGACGTTCTTGAGACTGTTCACCACGCAGTCGAACACCGCCTTGAGCTTCGGCACGCGTTTTATCGTCTTGAGTGGCCTGAGCACTCGTAGCACTCGCAGCGATTTTATAGTCGAGAGGTTCTGGCCGGCCGAGCTGCCGGTCATGTCGAAGGCGAACGACACCATGGCGCATATCACTACGACCGCGTCCATAATGTTCCAAAACTCGCGCAGATACGAGCCCGGATGGAGTATGATGCCGAGATCGATGATCTTCAGCACCATCTCGATGGTGAAGACACCGGTGAACGCGTAATCGAAGTAATTGAGGATCTTGTTCCTCGGCGCGCTCTCCGAGACGGGATCCTCGGCGGCCAGCGCGATACTCGACAGCGATATCACCACCATTATAAAGAAGTCGAAGTACCGAAGGTTCACGACCCAGTGGGCGGCTCTTCTTACGCTGCGAACAAAAGGTGGCGTTATTATTCGCGTGGGAACAACAATCTTGGAACAATCAAAAAATTATTATTATTAATTTAAATAATTAATTCCTAATTATTAATTATTATTGTCGTAAATTCTTTCTCAAAATGAAGATATGGAAGATATTGAAGATAATGAAGATATGGAAGATAATGAAGATATTGAAGATATTGAAACATTGCGATTGTTGATGAGAAATATTTTCAATGTCAACTGAGCTTTTCAATTGATTAGAAAAAATTGGCTAATTGACTGGAATGATGAACTTACGGATTCGTAGGGGACAGTATAAACATGGAGGAGTATGGCAGCATTGGTTTTGGTCCCGTGTCGTCATCTTCATCCTGCCTCCTCTCTTCAGACGCTTGGTTATCACCTCTTCCATCTCTGCTGAAAAAATGATACATCATTCTCCATTTTGTACATGTACTTCCTTCATCGACATTTTGCTCCTTGTATTTTCTAATTAATCTATTATATTATTTTAGTCTTTTTTTTCTTATTTAATAATTATGACGAAAATTATTAATCATAAACGGAAATATTTCAGTCAAGAAGAAAAACTCCAATGCAAATTTTATCAATGAGTCTCTGAATTCTTCGACTCAAAGTTGCCATAAAATGTTTTTGCTAGTTAAGAAGATTATTTCATTTTTAAATAGAAAATAAAACCATTTCGTATTCTAAAAATGATTATATTTGCTATAAATTATAGTTGACACGACAAATTGACAAAAAGAGACGAGAATTTTGACGAATGACGGAAGAGAGAAGAGAAACTTACAAATTCTGGGTTGGACTTGGAGGGCAGATTTCCACCTTCGGTGCGCCACCGTCTCTGGGCTTTTGCAGCGACTCGATCTCCTTCTCGAGCTCCTGCAACTGCTTCTCCTTATCTTCCTCTTTCTGTTCCTCTTCGGCGGCGCTTAGTTCCTGCGCGTTCGCGAGATTGTCGACGGCGATAGCCAAGAAGACATTCAGCAGAGTGTAGTTGCCGAAGAGTACCAGCACGATGAAGTAGAGCGAGTAGGCCATGCCCTGCGACTCGATACCCTGGTACATCACTTCGTTCCAATCTTCTCCAGTCAAAATCTGCGTCAGCAGCATCAGTTATTATACAAGTGGAAGCTTTTTCTTATGAAAAGATTAAATCTAATTTTGTCCTATCATACGTTTGGTATCTACAAATTGAATCTCTCTTAAATGTACATTAAAATCGTAGTAACAATCGGTTGTACTCACTTGGAAGACAGTGAGTAGTGCGATGGGAAAGGTGTTGAAGTTGGTGGGCGGCGTGCCTCTTTCGAAATTGAACTGGCCACCGAATAGCTGCATACCGAGCAGCGCGAATATGAGGATGAAAAGGAAGAGTAGGAAGAGAAGAGAGATGATGCTGCGCATCGAGCTTAGCAGCGATATCACGAGGTTTCTTAGGCTCTTCCAATATTTGGTGACTTTAAAAATTCGCAGGAGTCTAAGGGCACGTAGGACGGAGAGGCCGAAAGAGCCGGACTTCAATGCGGACCAGATCACCTCGAAGATCGAGCCACAGATGACGATGCAGTCGAAGCGATTGAAGCTCGATTCGAAGTATGTGCGGGGACCGAGCGCGTAGACCTTTATAAACATCTCCATCATGAAGAGGGCCAGGAACACAAACTCTGCGTAGTCTGCGAATAAAAAGAGATCGATTTTCAAAGAGCACCAAATTCTTCAGATTATTACCAGTGTTTGCTGGCATCTAGATAAAATTATCTAGATAATCATCTAGATAAAGAAATGAATCATCTTTATCTTTAACTAGATGAAGAAATACAAAGTATCTGTATCTTTATCTTATATAAAAAATATGTGTCATCTTATCTAAAAATTGTCTAAAATGACGTTTTCATTATGCAAAAAAGTTTTCCAGGCAAGCTTCTAAAAATCTATCTAAAATATCTAAAATATATTTTTTATATTATTATTATTAATATATTATAAATATATTATTATTATATTATTAATATATTATAAATATATTATAAATATAAATTAATAAATAAATATTTATCATATCATTTATACACCTTTTTGCTATTATTTAAATATTCTTTAGGAAAAGAGAAGGAATAAGTTTATGATTTTAATATCCCATTTATAATCTGCGTCACATTTTTTACAAATATTTATAGTCTTCTAAAATAAACAAAAATATCTAGATAATTATCTAGATTATCGCAATAATTATCTCATCTTTCATCTAGATTAAGTAAAAGTAAAATCATCTTTATCTCATCTAAGATAAATTTACGGATTTTTATCTTTATTTTTATCTAGATAATTTTGAAATTATCTACAGCAAACACTGATCATTACAATCTTGAATTCTTGGAGACGTTTGTCACGTTTGACGCTTGATAAGCTCGGGAAGTTCTTAAAAGATTAGGTTAGGTTAGGTAAAGGTTAGGTTAGGTAAAAGGACTGTTAAATAAAATAATCATAGAATCGGAACTCACAGAGGAAATCGGTGAGCCATTTCGGTTGCTCGTAATGTTCGACGGCTACGCAGATGGTGTTGAAGAACACAAGGACGATGACGAACCAGTAAAACTGCTGCGACTTGACGGAATTGCGTATCCAGAACCTGAATCTCTTTTCGGCCCGCCAGAATTGTAGACACGTGCCCTGCTTCTTTACTTTCGACTTGAAGTAGGAGGTTCTCGAGAACCCTATAAAATAGAACAAATCTCTTCAATATCATATCAGAAATCTTCACGACCCTGCTAGGATGTGTATTACAGACCAGTCGATTGTTAATTGCATCTTATATGCTTTTATTTTTTATTATATTATTTTTGTTCAATTTTAAAATCTTTTCTATTTTTCCTACACGTTTCTTACTAAACTATTTCTGCGATTGGACTCAAACATCGTATGATTTAAAATATTACGATCTGTAAACTCAAAGTTTTTTCAACTTTAAATATTGCAAATGATGATATTCTTCTAACAATAAGTCTATTTCAAAAATCTATATCGCGAGGAAATCTGGCAATTATATAATTATTTTATACATCGACTGGAAGAAAATTAGAGGATTTAATTTTTCTTTGATAAAAGATGGATATAAATAGAGATACATAGTTAAAATACTAAATTATTCTACCAAGCAGATACGATTATATGTATATGATGATGCGTACATATTCTGGCTACTCAATCTCTATATAACGTCGACAGACTAGTATCTATCCAACCTATCTATCAAATTCTAGGGATCAGGATTCCTAGTATGTACTACTCAAGGGATTCAATTCCTCACTCGATAATACTAAATATTCTACTATTTTGTCAGTTCACTTTAACTAGCTAAGGTTATAGCTGTATCAATAATAAAAAAATTAATTCATATTTTATCATCACATTGTACCTAAATACTTTTGCCGGAAACATTCGCACTCATCGTTTTATCAGAAATTATTTTACGGAAAAGAAGAGAAAGATTATTACAATTATATTATTTTAAAATAAAATTTTACTAATAGAAAAATGTATATATTTAAATTAATAAAGAAAGAAAGAGCGAGGGAGAAAGTAAATTTTTATATCTTTAAAAAAAAATGTGTTATATTAATTTTCATAATTCGATTGTTTAAATTTATATCTTTTTCAGAAATTTAATTCGAAGCAAATTTTGTATATTTTTGGACGATCGTGCGAATGTTCTCGGTAACAAAGGAAAGATAATATTTATGCATCGTCACATCAATCAATAGAAGCAACACCTAGAAAACTAAAATAAATTAGCTATCGAGTCCTCAGGTTTGTCTCTTGCGCAATAAAATCCGTGTGATTCCGAATGATATGCATCGACCATATCAGCAGTAAATCGATCCGAGTAATTACATGGAATACAATTCTTTTCTCTACCACGAATAAAGATATTGAATTAATTTTTTATTGTTATTCTTCGAAAGCGTATCAATGTAATTGTATTCTCGAATATTTTGAGCAATACATATTCTGAAAAAAATGTATCATTTAATAAGAGCAGTTTAAAGCTATCGGAAATTATATCTAAATACCAGTCCTATTGTATCTATATGTTTTACTGCGAGAAAATTAATTTTTATATGTACAATACGCGTCAACGATCCTGTCGTAGGCGGAGCAAGGGGAGCGTAGAACTGGCCACTGCCCGTTGATTGGCCAGTTGATTGGTTCTACGCTCCCCTTGCCCCGCCTACGACAGGATCGTTGACGCGCACTGTACATGTCCACAGGTGACTATTGATACATCCTGTATACGCGCATAAGTACCAAACAATTAATTTACTAAGCAATAGCCCGTGTCTCTAATAATTATGTAAAAATGTGATACGCACAATATTGTACATGTGTGTATTTACCAACCATAAAAGAATCTTTTACAAATAAAAATACAAAAATAAAACAGTTACACGAATAATATTACGAATACAGCCTTGTTTTTACGTTGGTCTTTACGAAAAGTCATGGCATTCACGGTTGTAGTTACCTTTGAGCTTTTTCTTAGGCACTGAAACAAGAGGAGCATCTGATAGCGTGTGTTTAGAATGTTCATCGGCAAAAATTATGGGAAAGGATCGTTCTTTTCTTTCCCTCTCGCAAAAGGAAGAAATCAAACGTAATTCACAAAATATTAAAGTCGATGAATATGAAAATACGCTAACGTGCCAATAAATAGAGAAAAGTTTTAGAACGAGATAAAAAGGGCCAAAATCTCTCGCACACCAACGATTTCCTTTGCATGAATTTTTAAGAAAGGTATATCGCAATATATTTGTGTACATTTCTCAAATTTAATACCATTGTTTAACTAATTTTAACATTGGTTTGCAAAATTTTAACGTTGATTATAATTTTCGTTAATTCGTTTTTTTTTTAATTTATCATTAATTAAGTTTCTCCACCACTTTTCTTAATATTATTACAATTTCTTGAGGAAATCGTTGATCGACATAAGTTCTGACTACTGAGAAATCGTGAAATCTCTTACTACTTGAACTTGATCTCGATTTCACAATTTTGCGTTTGTTCGAACACTCTGAGAAAAAGTCACAACTCGAATGAACAAGAAGAAGAGAATACTTGATGAACGTCGAGTTGGCAAAATACAACTCACCATCGTCCTGGTCGTCCTCGCCCTCCTCCTCCTCCGTGTCTGTACTCTTGCTCTTGCCAAGATTTTTCAATTTCTTCTTCTTCGCCGCCGCTCTTCTTCTTACTGCGTAGAATATATGCAGAGATATTAAGTTGTGCAATTATAACTTCGAATAAATTACGCCACTTAATTAATCTTTTATCGTCATACTGAGAAAAATCGTTTGATTGTATCAACAAGACGTATATGATTGAAGGCATTTTGGTTAAATCAAACAAGAATTTCTAGTTATTATGATAAGATTTTTCATAACTAGAACGTTTAATAAATTTTACTATAAGGATTTGGTTAGTATTTTCTGGTTAGATCTATAAAATTTCTTGTTACATTAATTTCTTTGCTTGCCACTCTTAACATAACTCGTATTCAATATTTGCCATGAAATGTGTATAGAGAACTAGTATTAACATTAAATTCAAAGTATATTTTTTTCTTTTACGAGCAGTAGTGCCAGACATAGGACGCCAGCTCTCTGATTGTGTGTTTGAGCTGCATCCTCTTCTTGCATCACTGTTTATCAGTTTAATTTCTAACAAACTGAATTTAAAATAATTTATTCAATAATCTGGATTGAATTTATCTAATAATCTTGTTGGAATTTAAAATATTAAACAGACTTTTGAGATTAGATGGAAAAAATTTTAGACGACTTGCTGGCGAGTTTAATATTATCAACCACAAATTTGGTAAATTTAATAGGAAGAAATTAATCAGATTCATCTGGTAATTCCTACAAGAATTCTGGTTCGTCCATTTTCCAACAGACATAGTGGTTGAATCTATCAGAATTCTAATTAATGCAACCAGATTTTTTTCTCAGTGCAGCTATTGAAAATATGTAAGTTGTACATTTGTTTATTCTCGAAAGAGGTATCAACAGATACAAAAGAATGATATTTACATGAAATAAAAAATGTGGCAATATATGTCGTGACATTTTTTAGTTTACGGTCTAATAACATTGTGAAAATCGTAATGTTATACATTACTTATATTTCTTACATTTCTTCAATAACTTTGACAGATCATAAAGTCAACAAAATAACGAAATATTATTAAAAGTTAAAATATATTATTAAAAGTTATTAAAAAAAAATTAAAAGGTTATTAAAAGTTAAAATATATTTATATGTACCATATGCAAAATATGGAAAATAGAGCTTATTGCATAATATAAAAGATGAGGATGTGTTTTTGATTTGATTGTGATGTTGTTTTTCTATTAATTAAAATTATTTCGCACTAAGAAAAATTCGATTCGATTACGTGAAAAAAAATGCGAGCGAGAGTATACTTATAGGAAAGCATTTTATATAAATATGCACGAGCACGTTTCGGAGATGTAGAGCTCGTTTCGCAAATCTTCTCGAGAGTGCAAACTTTAAAAAAGTGAATATTCATGATATCAATCGTTGTATGTTATATGAACCTTCTAATATGTGCATTTTCTCCTCTTCCGTGGTTCTCTCCTCGGCAAGTATCACCTCCTCTGAAAAGTGAACATTACGTATTAATAGTAATCAATATAATTTTGCGTTTCAATATACGCGAGGACAACTCATGCGTACAACAAGCTTTCGCAAGCACACTCTTTGCACAATAAAAGAATTGAAATAGATCGAGATCGGAAATATATATGCTCGAGAAAATTTAAAATTCAATCTTTCACGTCGGAAATACATTAATTGTGCATTTCTATTTTTTGCTTATCAACTTGCGATTTTATTCTCGAAACATTATTTGGTATACTACATTTCTGTGTATTACTTTTATAATATTTTTCCTGAAAAAAATCTAAAATATCCTTATTTTGCGCGAAATAGATTACTGTCAATCTCTTTCAATTCACGTATTTCTTCTACGGCAATTGATCTAACCTGCTTTGCAGATCCAATTGAGGTAACAATTCAGTTCGCGCTCAAGCTGCTGCTCTCTTCGCAACTTCAGAAAGGACTGTCGGTTCTCCACTTTCTCTCTCTCCTTCGCAAACTCTCTACAAGCGTGATACAGATGACATGGGAGCTTACTCGGGAGCATTTAATTCTTTTATAAAGACTAAGTTTAGCAGGAAATTTTCTAGTAGTATCATTGAATATTCTAGCAATACCGGCATATTTAATAAGCTACTGTGTTTAAATAAAATATCATAAGAAATATTAAAAATTATTTTTTTCTTTTGCGAAATACTTGTTTCATGGATTACTTTAAACTAGCGTGTATTACGGTATGAATAGTTATACATAATTATGATCAATTTATTGTTAACTACTCTCTTACGTACATATGTTACTTTTTCCTAATTAAATCTAGCGGTGATTAATTGAATAAACGAGAGGCGATGCCAAAAATTTACGTTCCTATATAATAATATATAACGCACTTTGCATTGTACACTCATTGCGTATTCAGAACTAAATATTTATATAATATCTTGAACTTTGTTTCTCGCATGTCAAAGATTAGAAAAAATAAAAATATTTAATTATTTGACATGTAAATATAATATACATATATACAGGGTGTCCCAGACTTAAGAAATCAGCCGTTAATGATAGATTCCTGAGATCATTTTGAGACGAAAATTCTAATACCAAAATGTTGAGAAAGACTTCATAAAAATGTTCAAACTATGCGGGCTCCTTGATGCGCTATATCTCTGAGCATAAGAGAACGTAACGCGCCGATTGGTAATCTTTAATCTTTTATAGCGCCGAAACTACATCTTCCTCAACATTTTAGTATTAAGATTTTCGTTTCCAAATGATCTTAGGAATCTACCATTAACGGCTGATTCATTAAGTCTGGGACACCCTGTATATATCTAATAAGAGAATAATAATAAATTTATAAATCAGAAAACATAGTAAGCTTTTTGCAATAAAAGAAAATAAATATTAAATAAATAAATAAATATATAAATAAATAAATATTAATTATTTATATATAAATATATAAATAAATAAATATTACACAATAGGATCTTCTAATAAAATATTGATTAAAATTTACTGTATTATTAATTTTATAATTTAAAAAAAATTATCATGTAATGGCCAATTTCTTTTCTGTAATAAACTGATGATTTTTACTTTTCTAAATTGCAATAGTGCTAAACACGCTAAGAGATATAGCTCATTATATCCTAACGTTAGGCAATGTCTATTAATTGAAGACCTGCTTGAGTGATCCATTTTAAGTAGGAACAGAATGCAGAGGCGAAAAGCTGCTTGTTCTTTGCTTTCCGATAAGCCGCCCGCCGTTCGACGCGCGCTCTTACATTAGAAAATTCCCTGACGAGGAAAGAAATTGATTCTGAAGTAATGAAACTTTATTCACAATTTTCGCGGATTACGCAAGCACGATCGCTGCCCCGCTGAATTATATCGTGGGCGTGGGCGAAAAGGCCACGAGAGATTTTTAGGGAAGGTATACTCACCCGCTCAAGACACCAAGAACTAAGTTCAGCATGAAGAATGATCCAAGGACGATCAACGGTATAAAGTAAATCCAGTTGTATTGACTGCCAAGAGCGTCGTTTGTCTGCAAATCCGACCAGAATCGATATGAAGAGCAGTGTCGCGTATACACATATGCACCGGTTACACAGCCGAGGGTATATTAATTAACGGCAGAGGGATCGTTATGTGATACAGAGGCATCAGGCTGTACCAAACGTAACGCGATAAACGTAGCCGTCCGGGTGCGAGAGCTCGAATTTATTTATCGTTATTCGATAATTTTCATTTCTCTTCACAAAGACAAATTTTGTCCGACATGAAGAGCAAATTTTTATCTAAAGATAGATTGAATCACCACCGACCTCATTTACGCAAAACAATATTAATTTTATGAAACCTTACGGTATCGTCAGAAAGTATAATCCGGGGAAAAAGGAGTAGAATCAGAGAAACATGCCATATATGATTCGAGACTACTTGCTACATTTCCCTAATCGCTACTTACTATCTCGAGAAGTAACCTGCATAGACAAGTTTCAACTATTTCAACTAGAATAATGTTATACAGGGTGGTTTAAAAGTCTGGAAACGATCGATTATCTCCGAAAATAGTGATCCTGTGGGAAAATGTTTCAGACAAAAGTTGTAAGATTTTAAGTGACGCATGACACAGTAATATTACTATGACCTTGAAGAGTGTTGTTAAGGTCACGTGAAGATCATCTTAAATTTCTTAAATGGAACCCCCTATTTTTAATTACATATTCTTGTAACTTACCTCGAGAGCTTTTCAAAACATTATAATAAAATATTTTTTCATTGAGTATTTTCCGAGTTATGAGACTTGAAATCATTTCTTAATTTCACATAAACCATAAAATATCTAGTAAAATATTCATTTTTCGATTATCTTATCTTAATACTTTTATGCACAAAATAATGTGAGAAATCGATTGGTGTAAAGAAAACACATAGTTGTTTCGAAGAAAAAATATGTAATTTGCAATTAACAATTACATATTTTTTCTTAAAAATGAAAAAAATCTTAAAATTTTGTACATAAAAGTATTAAGGTAAGATAATCAAAAAATGAATATTTTACAAGATATTTTACGGTTTATGTAAAATTAAGAAATGATTTCAAGCTTCATAATTCGGAAAGTACTTAATGAAAACTAACTTAATTATAATGTTTTGCAAAGCTTTCGAGATAAGCTACAAGAATATGTAATAAAAAAGTAGAGGGTTCCATTTAAGAAATTGAAGGTGATCTTAACAACACTGTTCGAAGTCATAGTAATATTACTGTGTAATGCGTTACTTAAAACCCTACAACTTTTGTCTGAAATATTTTCCCACAGGACCACTATTTTCGGAAATAATTGACCGTTTCCAGACTTGTAAACCACCCTGTATATTCCGAAAACTATACTTTGAAAACTACATACAATTTGTACATTTTGAGAAAAAAACTTTCAAGTAATTTCAAAGCATGGCATTTTCTTTTAATTGATATTTCTTATCCCGGATTATCCGACTAGAAAATTATTTTTGAGATTCAACAGTTAACGATCAATGATCACAGCCAGTAGATTAATATTGGAAGACTTCAAAATAAATTATTGCGTGTTTATAACAATAAAATAGTTTAAAATTTTCCTTGTTCGGTTAATTATTAATCCTTTCGTGAATTGTGAATGAATAAATATTATCGGTAACTTTATGTGTTACTCATTTAGTGTGTATTACAACGTGCTAAAAAATATATTTATATTTAATTTCACTATAAAAATAACCTAATTGTGAGATAGATTAAAGATAATGCACGATAATCACGAAAGGATTAAATACAATGAAAGATACAGTTAACATCAATATATTAAAACATCGAAGAGGGCTGGAACTGACAATGTCATACTGAGCAAGGTGAACATATACGTCAGTGTTAGCTGTTTTTACATTCCTGAAAGCCGGCAAATTCGGCAATTTCTAAGAACACAGAAAGGGGAGACAAAAATACAAAAATACATCGACTGAAGTGAAAAATAATCAAATTAATTATAAAAGAAAATAAACGTTTAAAAGCGGGTGGTAGAGGGTTAAGGGAACACACACAGTATCGAAAAATATGATTATTCGATAATATATCTTCTGTAAAAGGATTAATTCGATAATATATCTTCTGTAAAAGGATTAATTGACAAGGAATTAGTCACAAAGGAATGAATTTGATACAAAAATGTGATATCCAAATGAAGCGTTAGTAGTTGTAGGATTGGTGACACCGATAGCAACATTCTATAGGAGACATACATTTGAGACTCTCGATTATCTTTGATGTAACACGAAAAAAAGGAGACACTGCGTGGAACAAATCGTGCGCAATAAAGAGGGCAAAATTTGAGCAAAGAGAATAAGAGAGAGAAAAAGAAAAAGAAGAAGAGATAAAGAGATGAGATAAATAAAGAAGAATGAAAAGAGGACTTTTAACACTGAAGAACATATTTCTTGCTTTACCCAGTACAATATGGCAGTCCAGCCCTCCATAGTGATACACTGGAAGACAGTGAGCATGGCGAATCCAATATTATCGAAGCTGGTGATGCCCGCGTTTGGTCCCTCCCAGTACTCCTGGCACGTCGAGATATTAGGGTTACACACGTTGGCCCCGAATGGAGCCTCAAGCTTGATGTCCGTGTTGCATGGGCTCGGCTGCTCGCCCTCCTTTATGATTACATCTACAACACCCGGTATTATAAAATATCTCAAATACATCGAGCGAGCACCGAACAAACTCCTCAAAAAGGAATTGAAATTTATACATTTGTTCAATATTCTTTCTTCAATATTCTCGAAAATTTTTATAATTATTTTATAATTTTTTTATACTGTAATTATTTTCTAAATTTTTTATATTAAATAAACTTTATAATTTTTTTTATATTAAATAAACTTTATAATTTTTTTTATATTAAATAAACTTTAAAATATTTTTTATATTAAATGAAAGGTGAATACAGAAGGAATAGGACAAATAAAAAGTTACGAGAAAATTTCTGAGAAGTTGATTCTGAATTTTCGAATGCACTCACCCATGTCCGTTATACTGAAGCACGTTTTATGCAGAGTTCCCGAATAAAACTCGAGGCCGATGATGGCGAATATCACGATGGCGAAGAGTACCAGCAAGCCGATCTGCAGCAGCGGCGCCATCGCCTTGATGATAGACTTGAGCACCACCTGAAGACCTGTGCGCAAAAAATCGCCGAGGAGTAATTAGGTCCAACCATCATTCTCACTCGAGATCGATGCGAAATTTTATACTCGGTACAACTTTTATCTCTCCTTGTTCGTGCATTGTTATCGCTTATTGCTGTAGTAAAGATAATAATTTAATATTGGTGATGGTACAAAATTGACCTCTAATCATCGATAAAATAATATTTTATTTTGCGATGCTTGTAAATAACAATTTACGCAGATGTAATGAGAAAAAATACTTTATTTTGCGATATTTCGAAAAATAGATTTTATATTAATCTGATTTGAAGTTAATTGAAAATCGATTACTTGAAAAAAAAAATACAAATATTCGATATCACTCGAAATGGTCCTGTCTAAGGATTAGGATACCTCCGCCGCATCTAAATACAACATCGAGCTCTCAATAAAATCTATATGGGCAATACTACTAACATAAAACAAACGATCGATCTAATTCGATAGAAAGCATTCTACAGGTAATAGATATATTTGCGATTAAATATGACTATACACTCTCATCTACTGATTTGACTTCATATTCGTTAATTCGCTCCTCGTCAAATCTAGCCACTATTTGAAAAATAAATATATATTCTCGACGGCGGATCATATTTGATCATCGAGATATCCAAATCTGAGGCAAAGAAGTTTCGAGTCTTAATTAAGCATTAAGCAATAATGCAATTAATGCTTAATAATTAAGCATTAATTATTCGTTACTTATTTGTACATAAAAATTGCACGAACAAGAATGCATTTTTTAGCGCCAAATGATCATCTCTCTCGTTTCTGAAATATTTTTTTATTAATTACTTATATTTCAATTGTCGTCATTTTACAAGATGCATGCACGTAATAATAGAAAGTGCATAACTGAAACATTTAGCGCTAAGAATGAGATGAAATCGCGCGTTTCTCCGCCCATATTCACACCTCGATTTAAAATATTTATTCCCAAAAATGAATATTTAATGGTATTTTAATTAATCAATATGGATTGTGTCACGTTTAGGAAAAAAAAAAATAAGATACTTTTAGCTAGAGATGTATTCGTGGTGTGAATGTGAGTACTTATTCCGTGCTATTTCCGGAGATTTCGCGACAACGAAAGAGCCTTCTCGACAATACGAGATCCCTGCGGATTCTCTCGATGCGTCGAGCAGCCCCGAATTTGAAACTCGACCGGTGCTCGACGCTTTCCAATTTCTGTACTGATGCGCTACTCACTCGGTATGCCGGAGACAAGTTTGAGCGGTCGCAACACGCGTATCGCACGCAACGTGCGCAGATCCATATCCAGGTGTATGCCTTGCGAGAACGCCGTGACGATCCTGCCCCAAAAACACACACACCCGCCACACTTTACTACTTACTACTCTATTACACTAATACTCACGCTACTCTTAAATACTTAGACTACGGCCACTAGATGGTTAACTAGCGTTTCTCTAGCCCGGGAAGAGGAGAAGAGGTAGCGCTATCAGGACGATCGGTCGGAATTTTCGATAACGCGAGAGATTAAGGTGAATTAGATTAGAACAATCGGGATTTTAATCTGCAGCGAATCCCGAAAAGTTGGATTTTCATATGATTAAAAAAATTTGATTTAATTTGGAAAATTTAAATTTAGCAGAAACTCGAAATATTTATTTCTGATTTAGTCAAATAACTAATTTAATGTAAATTTCAATTTAAAAAATTAAGCCGTTTATTTTATATAATGAAGTTTCAGGTCATGTATTATCGAGGTAATGTATTATTTCTTGGTCAAATAATTAATTTAATACACATTTCAATTAAAGATGTTTTGTACCTATTTTCAAAATATTTAATGAAAGAAGAGAATTTAATGAAAATTGTACAGAATATCCTTACATATGTTTAGAATCTTCAGTACAATTTTTAAATCGATTCACTAAAGCGTTCATAAGTTATAAGGATTTTAATTTGCACCGAATTAACATGTGTTCTTATGAGAAACGTATAATATAACCACGTCGATTCAAATGACAAAAACACATGGAAATAATATTCAGAATTTGTTTAAGATTTGCAAAAGTTTAGATACAGAGGAAATATTTGGTCAAAATAATATTATACAAGTACTAACTGGTTAAAAAGATATAAATATAATTCAATCAAGTTAGCTATGTATCTGTCACAAAGCGAAATTCTTTGCCAAAAGTTAATTATTTCGATTAATAAAAGTCGGAATATTTCAGTAAAAAACGCAATAAATATTAAAAAATAGATCTCTGCACTGTAGCTAAGATCAAATTGTAATATTCTATACAATTTCTTACTCAACAAAATATATTAAAAATAGATATATTCGTCAATATTGATTTTCAGCTACTTTCTGCTGGGATTGTATATACAAAACATCCTTAGGTGAATTAGATTAGAACAATCGGGATTTTAATCTGCAGCGAATCCCGAAAAGTTTGATTTCCATCTGATTAAAAAAAATTTGATTTAATTTGGAAAATTTAAATTTAGCAGAAACTCGAAATATTTATTTCTGATTTAGTCAAATAACTAATTTAATGTAAATTTCAATTTAAGAAATTAAGCCGTTTATTTTATATAATGATGTTTCAGGTCTTGTATTATCGAGGTAATGTATTATTTCTTGGTCAAATAACTAATTTAATACACATTTCAATTAAAAAAATTATGACATATTAAATCAATCATAAAAATTCCAAATAAAAATATTTTACATCACATTACATTGTTTATAAAAATATATATCTTTCAAATATAGTACTCGGAGGGATACACACATTTTTTCTTTATGTTAAATTCAATATTATGAAAATATCTGACAGAATAGGACAATGATCTATTGAAAATGGCGTCACGAGAGGAATAAGGTCGATGTATAGGCGTGTAAATGTATCTATATATACGTATTTTCTCTCTTTCTCTTTCTCTAGACTATATGTAAAATACTGTATATCTAGGTAGGAGAAATGTTGGGGCGAGCTAGCGATAGTATAATCGCACGTAACTCGTGATTCTAGTTTCTCGAAGATATCAGTTCACTGAGCGGTCATCGTGCGCGACCGTCTCTCATTTATTTCTGACTCTTGCCAATAACAGCAGCTTTCCGGAAAGATTCTTTTCAATCCAGAACAGATATCACAGATAACAGATATGATAGAGAGGTACTAGATCTCTTCCATCCTGCTAGAGGATGAATTAAAAATTCTAATACATACCATATTTCTTTTATATTATTCTAAAACATTAAAGTATATTTTTATTTCAATAAACCAATGAAATTTTAACAAATAACTTTTTTTCTTTTCTATAAAATTTGAAGAAGCAATGAATTACTTATTTAAACACTACTAAAAAAAAACATTTTTTATTAAAAATCATTTTAAATATTTCCATTACGAAACAATGATGAATTGAAAATAATTCAACAATGTTCAATGCTAGATTTTTCGTTACAAATTAATCTTCAATTAATCTTCAATTAATTAAATTAATAATTCATTAATCATTTCTTTACAGATTTTTCTTACAGATAAATTCTGAAAATAAAACCGAAGAAATAAATTTACTTAAATTTGAAAATGAATTATACATACGCGATAAATATTTTGAAACAGAAATAAATTTTTGAAGATGATCAAATATTCCAAATTTTAGCAAAGATATCAAGAGAATGAATCCTTCTCCAGTAAAAAATGATTTTAAATATTTCTATTACGAAACAATGATGAATTAAAAATAATTCAACAATGTTCAATGCTAGATTTTCCTTTACAGATTAATCTTCAATTAATTAAATTAATAATTCATTAATCATTTCTTTACTTTTTTTTCTTACAGATAAATTCTGAAAATAAAACGAAGAAATAAATTTACTTAAATTTGAAAATGAATTATACATACGCGATAAATATTTTGAAACAGAAATAAATTTTTGAAGATAATCGAATATTCCAAATTTTAGCAAAGATATCAGGAGAGTGAATCCTTCTCCAGTAAAACCGTAATTGTAGCCTTCGCTAATAATGATGATGAGAAATCTTAACTATCGGTAATGTGAATGACGTCGATGATTGATTAGCTTATGAAAAAAGAAATAAATCCAATATAAGCGGGAAACCTAGCAATCGAAAGAGGGTAATCATCTTCGAGAATTATGGACACTATTAAATGATTAAACAAAGCAACAATCCGTCTGTGTATCTGTATGACGTCTAAAGTAAAACTATCTAGTAAATAACGGCTGCGCTTTTAAACACGTTATGTGCTCTAGGAGGACACGTATCCATTTAACAATGTATAGTCGACTTTATTATTTAGCGTGACTGCAGCTAAAGATAGCTAACCACTAAATATAGGCATCGTTCCGCGCAGGTCATCACATCTGTGTGCGTGTGTGTGTTTTTTTCCTTCTGTCTACCTGTTCATGAGAGCGCATCTTCGGCGTAATCGGAGACGAAATGGTCCAAATTGCTATTTTCGAAGAGAACACTTTCGGGGAATATTAACTACTAATTAACAAATAAGTCTTTCTTTCTTGCAGACACACACGATCTAGTAAGATGTATCCTAACAATCACAGGAGAGAATAATGATTAATTCCAATTTATCAAATACGGCAACTAAACTGCTCGCTACGTGTTTATTTTTCTACGTATGACTACAAAACTATTAGAAATCAGAGATCAGAATCATTAGGAAATATCTAGATTGAAAATGTAAAACGTTATTAACGCGTATAATGTATTGTTAGAAGGAAAAATAAATATACTTGTGACAACTGTTTTTTTTTTATCATAATTAATTAGCAGAATTTTTTTGCTCCATCAATATTAGCAAAAATGTAATTGCGAAAACTTTATGTGTATAGTTAAAAAGATTTTTTATATTATATATACAAATTTTTAACATTTTGTTCTAAAAGAACTTTTATATATTTGTACGTAAGCGATGTATTTGTGTAAATACGCTTTCTTCAAACTTGAGCAGTGTGTATCAAATTGCGATATTCATAAATCTAAACTGTTCATCAATCTAATCGCAAATTCTTCTAGAAGAAATAGAATATACAGGGTGTCCCATTTTATTTTTGTCAGTCAAATATCTCGATATTACTTAGAGTTAGAAAGAAATGTTTCAGAAAAATATTGTATGGCTTGAAGGGGGCCATAAGATGATGTCATTGACCTTGAAAAGTCGCTTGAAAGACACGTAAAGATCATCTTCAATTTTTTAAACGGAATCCCCTATTTTTTATTATTTATTCTTGTAGCTTATCTCGAGAGCTTTCCAAAACACTATAATAAAGTATTTCTTCATTGAGTACTTTTCAAGTTATGAAGCTTGAAATAATTTCTTAATTTTACATTAAACCATAAAATATCTAGTAAAATATTCATTTTCCGATTATCTTACCTTAATACTTTTATATACAAAATAATGAGAGGAATCAATTGGTGTAAAGAAAACACATAGTTGTTTAAAAAAAAAATATGTAATTGTTAATTGCAGATTACATATTTTTTTTTTAAAACTATGTTTTTTTCTTTACCAATTGATTCCTCTCATTATTTTGTACATAAAAGTATTGAGTATTAAGATAATCGAAAAATGAATATTTTACTAGATATTTTATGATTTATGTAAAATTAAGAAATTATTTCAAGCCTCATAAAACTCGAAAAGTACTCGATGAAAAAAATACCTTATTATAGTGTTCTGAAAAGCTCTCGAAACTTAAGCTACAAGAGCTTTTTCTTGAGAAGGGATTGCTCTGACACCCTGTATATATATTTTTATAAATATATATACATATAAATTATCTTTATATCCAACAAATATCGATCATGAATTGAGCCAACTTTTATTCATTATGAGCTCTAACTTTATCAATTGATCTAAGACACCCATAGCCTCTAAGAGCAAAGGGGCTAGTGAAAAACATACGACGTTAAATTACGTAATTAGAAGATTAACTTAAGTAAAAGATGCTAGAGAACTAATAATGTATAAATATATAGATATATATATAGACAAGTTCAAGTCGATGCTTCTCTCGCTTGCCAGAACTAGACGTCGCACCAACTAAAGCAGCGAAACTGGCCGAAATTGAAAGGTCGAGCTAAGAGTTTCGGCGCCGAAGACATTAAAACTATGTTCATAACTATGAGAATGCATATAAATTGCCAGGAAGCACAATGTGGTAGGGCACGAGACTCGAAAGAGGCTGAAGAAGGGGGTTAGTCATCCGCTGCTTGACTATTAGCTCGACTTGTTATTGGCAGGGCTTTCTCTCGGGGTGGTTTGTTAATCGCTGCTGTTCTTTCGCAGAACTCTGACTGACTCACTTGGAATTTTTGAAACCAGCTTTAGCGGTCTGAGGACCCTGAAGGAACGTAGCATACGCAGGTCGACGTCCACGTTTGTTTCGGCGAACACGGTCATCGACCTAATTCAAGGATCACTCTAAAATCTATCTGACCAATCGGCCTGGTGATCGATGTTCATGTTTCCTTAAATCCTATGGCTATGGAGAAACCAGTTCGTAAACTACATTACCAGAATGTCCAATTTTCGAAACATTTACTTGATGGCATTTTTGCTGAAAACCGTATTTATTTTTCATAGTTTTACCAATAAATTGCATCGAGAAAGCTGATTAAATATATATATATATATCGGAATATCTTGCCTGGTAATGTTGATTAAATTGATTCCCCCAATATCTTGTTTACTTATAGGAGTAATTAGGGAAAGAGGTTTATTTTGTCACTCGCTTTGATCGCAAATTAATTAATGGACGAGACAATATTTGTTTCTCTCGAGAATGATCAATATTAATGATTTGTCCTATTTATGTAAGAGATGTAAATGTGTATAAAAATGTATATGGCAATACACTGAGCTTAAGAATATGAAATTACTTATTTTTCATCATATAAGATTATTTTGCCCGCGTGTCGGATCTAATAAATAATTGAAAAATTCATGGTTTCTCAGGAAACTCGCTCTTTTTTCGCGCAAGTAAATTGTTAAAGAAATACTCACGGGAAAAAATAGCCGGGAATATAAAATTACAGACAGTGTTTGCTGTAGATAATTTCAAAATTATCTAGATAAAGATAAAGATCCGTAAATTTATCTTAGATGAGATAAAGATGATTTAGCTTTTACTTAATCTAGATGAAAGATGAGATAATTATTGCGATAATCTATAATTGCGATAATTATTTAAATATTTTTGTTTATTTTAGAAGACTATAAATATTTGTAAAAAATGTGACGCAGATTATAAATGGGATATTAAAATCATAAACACATATTCTTTCTCTTTTCCTAAAGAATATTTAAATAAATAGCAAAAAGGTATATAAATGATATGATAAATATTTATTTATTAATTTATATTTATAATATATTTATAATATATTTTTAATATATTAATAATATAATAATAATATATTTATAATATATTAATAATAATAATATAAAAAATATATTTTAGATATTTTAGATAGATTTTTAGAAGCTTGCCTGGAAAACTTTTTTGCATAATGAAAACGTCATCTTAGACAATTTTTAGATAAGATGACATATATTTTTCATCTAAGATAAAGATAAAGATACTTTGTATTTCTTCATCTAGTTAATCTTCATCTAGTTAAAGATAAAGATAATTTCTTTATCTAGATGATCATCTAGATAATTTTATCTGGATTTTATCTAGATAATTTTATCTGGATAATTTTATCTGGATGTAAACACTGGTTACAGAGAAAGAACAGTGGAAGGAAACGAAAGGAGGGACTTTGCCGACGAAGAAGCTCTCGACTCTTACCCAGTCACCACGACGAAGAAGTCCATGATGTTCCAGATGTTGCGCAGGTAGGAGCCACGGTGGAGGACGAAGCCGAGAGCGAGGATCTTGAGGCTCGCCTCGACGCAGAAGATCCCGAGGAAGTAGATCTCCGTGGTCTCGAGCTTCTGTGCGAGTATGGTCTTGTCAGAATTCGGCAGGTGCTCCTCGAGGGCAAGGACTACGCAATTGGCGATGATGGTGAGCAGGACGGCGTACTCGAAGGGCGGCCACTCGATGATGAAGCGCGTATGCTTCCGTATGCAATTATCCTCCGACAGGATAAACAACGACGTGGTGCCCTTGCCGCCCACCCCACCGCCACCCGCCCCTCCGCCCTGATCCCGGCCTGGTGCCATGTCTACCAGACCAGGTACCTGAAGAGCAATATCTCCCTCAGAAGATGATACATCTCGAAAGATATAGCGAGCTTTTAAACCGAAGTACCCGAATAAAAAATCGGAAAAATTGAACAACGTTAAAGCAAATGGAGATCTTGAAAAATGATGAATAAGTAAAATTATGGAGATCTTGAAAAATAATGAATAAATAAAATTATGGAGATCTTGAAAAATGAGGAATAAATAAAATTATGTATTTGTACATGTTTAATGATCTACTTTTTATAATCAAATATAAGGATAAGTGTGGTAATATATGTCTGAAATATATTTAAAGTTTGCGATTCAATTATTTTAAATATTTTGATTATTACACAATTTAACGTCATCTTACCTCCCCTCCGAAGCTAGTCCAGTCACCGAGACCACTCCTCAGTCCGGCCAACCTCGACCTTCTCCCGTAGTACTGACTCGCGTATCCAGAGTCCCTTTGTGCCGCCTCTTGCGCTGCTGCCAACCTGAAAAAGGGATGAAGGGGGTGGTTAATGACTGGTTGCACGTTGAAGACCAGAATTAGAAACAATGATCCAGAAATCATGGTCCATATAATTTACTTATAAATAAGTCAATTATATTTTATTAATGAATTAATATTATAATATAATCTAACCTAGCTTCAATAAGCATCAATAAGCTGCTAATTATTAATAATTAAAAACCAAAGAATGATAAATAATTTCATAAGCTTGCCAACGTAAAAGTCTGTAAGATAATTAAAATCACAAAAATACATAAATAATGCGTCAATAGTTAATTAATAGTTTGATGAAAGAATTTTTATTAAAAAGAAGTGATCGCTATTTATATTATTATATCTTCAAAACGAAGGATAAATTAGATATTAATTAACAGTCATATTTATATATTTTACATCTGTCATTTATATGTCTCATGTGTTATATATACATATGTCAACCATATAATATAATCGTCAGTCTGTATTAGATAAATATCTCGAAGTTAAACGATTATGTTTAGCATCGAATATAATGTATACAGATGAAAGATGTAAACAAGAGTTTTCATTTAATGTAATTTCTACATAAATATTAGTCTCAAAAATATTATTTTTTTTAATTATTACAATTTATATCTATGTACTTATATTTTTTATTTATATATTTTATATGTGCGCTGAGAAAAATCGTTTGATTGTACCAACAAAACGTATATAATTGAAGGCATTTTGGTTAAATCAAACAAGAATTTCTAGTTATCATGATAAGATTCGATTTTTTATAATTAGAACGTTTAATAGATTTTATAAAGATTTGGTTAGTATTTTCTGGTTGGATCTATAAAATTTCTTGTTACATTAATTTCTTTGCTTGCCACTCTTAACATAACTCGTATTCAATATTTGCCATGAAATGTGTATAAAGAACTAGTATTAACATTAAATCCAAAGTATAATTTTTTTCCCCTTACGAGCAGTAGTGCCAGAAAGAGGACGCTAGCTCTCTAATTGTGTGTGTTTGAGCTGCATCCTCTTCTTGCATCACTGTTTATCAGTTTAATTTCTAACAAACTGAATTTAAAATAATTTATTGAATAATCTGGATTGAATTTATCCAATAATCTTGTTGGAATTCAGAATATTAAACAAACTTTTGAGATTAGATGGAGAAAATTTTCGACGACTTGGTGCTGGCGAGTTTAGTATTATTAACCAGAAAATTTGGTAAATTTAACAGGAAGAAAATAATCAAATTCATCTGGTAATTCCTACAAAAATTCTAATTCGTCCATTTTCCAACAGACATACTGGTTGAATCTACCAGAATTCTAATTAATGCAACCAGATTTTTTTCTCAGTGCACTGTTTATCAGTTTAATTTCTAACAAACTAAATTTAAAATAATTTATTCAATAATCTGGATTGAATTTATCCAATAATCTTGTTAGAATTCAAAATATTAAACAGACTTTTGAGATTAGATGGAAAAAATTTTCGACGACTTGGTGCTGGCGAGTTTAGTATTATTAACCAGAAAATTTGATAAATTTAACAGGAAGAAATTAATCAAATTCATCTGGTAATTCCTACAAAAATTCTAGTTCGTCCATTTTCCAACAGACATACTGGTTGAATCTACCAGAATTATAATTAATGCAATCAGATTTTTTTCTCAGTGTGTGTATATTTTGACGAGATTCTTGAAATTCTACTTTCAAAATGTACGACATATTGCAAATCACCAAATATGTATAAAGTGTGCAGGAAATTTCGGCAGAATTATTCTCGTTATGCAGGCGAGCGATGCCTCAGAGAGATTGCATAAAAGATTTCATTAATGACGAACGGAGATGCGTAACGCGGTGGCTCCGGCTTCAATTAAGTGCATTAGTCGAGACTTTTGCGACAGATACTCTGTATGCGTGTTGGCTCTTCTCTCGTGTGATAGAAAGGGAGAGAAAAATAGAGTAAGTGCAATCAAGGCACATGATAATGCAATAATTCACGGCAAGAATTTCTCGTCAGTGCATCCTTGCTTTCGTATAATACATCAATTGCATGCGATAGCGCTAACGATGAAATTTCTGTGCTCATAAAATCGCAACGTTTGCCTCAAAAAAATGGAAAAAAAATTAAATCTACATATTATCTTTATGATAAAACATTTTCGGTAAAAGAGATATATGTATATTATAATATGAATAGATAATCTTAAATACTTTTCTTAAAAATACATCCAATTAACATTCGAAATTTATTATAATTTTGCATTATAACATTTCATGCATTAATATATTTCACATACATTATTAACATATTTTATATTTTGTTTTTTATTTTCATACCTTATATAAGAGACTTTTAATTGATTAATATTTAAAGAATTGGAAAGCTGTGTACGAAGAATGATAAGATTCTAAAGTCTACAAGAGAAGTACTTTAGTAATTTTATTAATTAATTCTAAATTAATTAATTAGATTTTTTATATTCATTATAATAATATATATATTCAATAATTATTCAAAAAATTTCATATTCTTCAAATGGTAATCAATATTTCATAGATGTAATGTTTAAAATTAATAATAAAAAATTTAAATATCTAATAATAACTTAAAATAATCTTTAACCAACTTTAAATAATTTCTATAAGGATACGATCAATAAATCAAAATACTTTTCTAATCTGATATTAGCGATTTAATCGAACGCCACAAATTCACTCGCTGTTCTAAAAAAAGCTCGATGCTGAATTTGCACAATACGACGAGGAGTCTATTTTCGATCGATCGTAGCTGAATTTGGGATATCTCTCGAAAACCAAGAGTGCTTGAGATCTTTTTGAGAAAATCGATATACGCTCTATTTTTCCTCTAACAAATACAATCGAGCGGCGTGAAATATGGTGACTGAGAAAAGCACATCTCTTCGCAGAAGATTTATTTGGTATTACACGGATTAAATTCGATATTGATAAATCTAAGTTTTTTATCATTAATTCTAAGCATTATATTTAATTTGCATCAGATATTGCAAGTTTATGTAACAATTGCTCGAATATTCCTTATTTTCATGTGTGCGAAAAGATTATTTTTACTTTAATTTTAAACAAATTATATAAAAATGCTAAATATCAAATGTCTAATAATTATATAGTTCACACATTACTTGACGTATCAAAATGTTTTGAAATTAGAAAAAGACATATAGATTGCGTTATAAGTTAATTGAAGCATTTGTGAAGAACTTTTTTTTTCACGTCACTCGAAAACAATAAAGTATGACGATAACAGATAAAGTTTCGCGATTTGTCACATCGCCGACATACGACATTTAGGTGAACGAGAAAACGACTCGAAGGAAAAAGTTCGCGTCGAGATTGTTCAATTTTATGTATCCGGAGAATCGAATATAATACGGAGAGCAAGCGTGGTGTAGCGTCTGCGTCTAGCGAATTTTATCAGCTACTTCCAGCGCTCCCTTATCCTGCTTTACGAGACCCTTTCTTCTCCTTTACTTTGGCCGTTTCTGTTGGCGACCGACAAAGCGGCGCCGACCAGGGATAGAAATTCGCAAAAAATAATTATGATGGCAGTCCTGGTGAAATCGTCAAGCTTACAATAAGAAGATAAGCGTGTGTTCGTTTCTCTCTCAGGCATATTTTCGAAAGAGTTCAAATGAAAGGAGCTAAACACAATTACGTATTAGCTTTTTTTTTACGTAATAAATATCTAAAATCTAAATTTTCAATTAGTACATATGTGTTAACAATTATAAGAAAATCTTTTTAAGGATGTTTTGTATGTAGAATCCCAGCAAAAAGGAGCTGAATATATATAGCTATTTTCATTTGGAATTTTTATGATTGATTTTAATGTCATAATTTTTTTAATTGAAATGTATATTAAATTAGTTATTTGACCAAGAAATAGTACATTACCTTGATAATACATGACCTGAAACATCATTATATAAAATAAATAACTTATTTTTTTTAATTGAAATTTATATAAAATTAGGTTTCTGACTAAATCAGAAATAAATATTTCGAGTTTCTGCTAAATTTAAATTTTCCAAATTAAATCAAATTTTTTTTAATCAGATGGAAATCTAACTTTTCGGGATTCGCTGCAGATTAAAATCCCGATTGTTCTAATCTAATTCACCTAAGAATGTTTTGTATGTATAATCCCAGTAAAAAGTAGCTGAAAATCAATATTGACGAATACATCCACTTTTGGTGTATTTTGAGTAAGAAATTGTGTGGAATATTACAATTTGTTCTTAGCTACAGCGCAGAAATGTATTTTTTAATATTTATTGCGTTTTTACTGAAATATTCCGAATTTTGTTAATCGAAATGATTAACTTTTGGCGGAGAATTTTGCCTTGTGACAGATACATGGCTAACTTCATTGCATTATATTTAATATCTTTTTAACCAGTTAGTATTTGTATAATATTGTTTGACCAAATATTTCCTCTGTATCTAAACTTTTGCAAATTTTCAACAAATTCTGAATATTATTTTCATGTGTTTTTGTCATTTGAATCGACATGGTTTATACGTTTCCCATAAAAACACATGTTAATTCGATGCAAATTAAAATCTTTATAACTTGTAAACGCTTTAGTGAATCGATTTAACAATTGTACTGAAGATTCTAAACATATGTAAGGCCATTCTGTACAATTTTCATTAAATTCTTTTCTTTCATTAAATATTTTGAAAATAGGTACAAAATATCCTTAATTGAAATGTGTATTAAATTAGTTATTTGACAAAGAAATAATACATTACCTCGGTAATACATGACCTGAAATATCATTATATAAAATAAATAGCTTAATTTTTTAAATTGAAGTTTACATTAAATTAGTTATTTGACTAAATCAGAAATAAATATTTCGAGTTTCTGCTAAATTTAAATTTTCAAATTAAATCAAGTTTTTTTTAGGATTAAAGACATTCTGTACAATTTTCATTAAATTCTCAATAT